ATGCTGTATTTCTTTTTCTTCTTTTTTTGCAAATGAAAATAAAAGGAAGCTCAAAGATCACTGTACGTGTGATTACAGTGATCTTTGAAATGTGTTGGAGTTTTATTACTAGAAGACACAACAAGATTGACGGAAGATATAAGGTTAAAGGGATAGTTCACCCAAAAATGAAAATACTGTCATTAATTACTCGTCATCATGTCATTCCAATCCAAACCCATAAGACTTTCGTTGATCTTTGGCACACAAATGAAGATATGTTTGATGAAGAGAGATTTTTGTCCCTCCATAGATGCAACTACCACTTTGACGCTTCGGAAAGTTCATAAAGAGATCGTAAAATGAATCCATATGAACTGAGCGATTTAGTACAAATTTTCTTTAGAGACTTATGATGAACAGATTTAATTTAGTATTTTATTTACATATAAACACTGATCAGCGAACACAAACAAAAGCTCAAATGAACCTTCTGGTATTCAGGATTGGGCATTTGGTATTTAGGATAGGGCATTTTGTATATAGGATTGGGCTTTTGGTCATTTTGCCATTTAGGATTGGGCATTTAGGGATTTAGGATTGGGAATTTGATATTTAGGATTGGGCATATAGAGGATTGAGGGGTGTATGCAAATAAGGAGGCGTGACCCAAAAACTGGAGGCTGGGTTTGAAATGGCTGGTGCGCAGAGGCCACACTGGCAGAGCGTCTTCTTCAAAGTGAAAGTTTCGTTAGCACACCCGACGTGTCTTAAGAATGATCATATGCATTTTATCCCAAGCTAGGATCTCCGTTGCTAATTCCAAAACGTAATTTTAGAGCTAGTAACAGACAGAGCCATAATTGTGACAACTCCATTCACTACAATGGAACGTTTTTCTCTAACGAGAGAGAGAGAGAGAGAGAGAGAGAGAGAGAGAGAGAGAGAGAGAGAGAGAGAGAGAGAGAGAGAGAGAGATTACCTCAGTCTGTGTCTGTGCGTCTGTGTGACCCTTGATGAATCTTTTCACTTAACAGGGATAATTTCCGGTTATGCTAAATTCTAAATTCATATCTTTTTAGGCACGAACAGCAGTCGTTAAAAATAATACGAAATGCCCATTTTAACTAATTAAATGGCTTGGATTTTCCCGAACATATCGGTATGCTTGATGCTAGAAGCCCCTTTTTAATTCTTTTATGTCGTCTGTAGGCAGGTAAGATCCTGCTGTTATTATTTGTTCATGGTCTCTTACTGTCTGGAATTGCAAACGCCTAACTTATCTGTTTTCACCATAGACTGTAAAAAAGAAAGATTGTTCACACCATTCACACTCATTTTTGTTCAGGCTTCTAGCCGGGCAGCAGCAACAGGGCCCCTACTGTAATATTAAATAGTGCGTGCTGACGTAACCTGGTCACCTTTCAAGAGCGTCCAATACGCAACTTAGTTAATATTCATAAGACGCCCCTTCACCATAGTAGGATTCGTACTTTCGTGCTCTCACCACACAGGTTGAAATCATAGACTGTAAAAGAGGTTGAAATCCAGCTGCATGCGCGAGACCATAGCAGCACTCTCAACATGGTAAGAGAAAACATGTATATATCTACATTTAAAAAAACTTTTAACTCTTATAATTGCATGTGGATTAACAACCACTATAATGTCTTTGTGCATAACTCTCAACTTTGCAATTAAACGCATAACATTACCACAAGCGAGATGCTTCAAATAAAACTGGAATGGGCTGAATAGGTCGACTCGTGCTATTTTTATATTAACTGTGAATTTTTAAAATCTGACGTTTTATTTTCGTATTACTCGAACAGTTTTTTAGACACAATCAAGTTTTTTTTTTTTGCGTTTTGCCGTATACACTTTTTCATGCATCTTTTTAAAAAGCACAGTATAGTGCTCAAATTAGCATTAACATATCAAGGTCTGTTATTGATTTGATAGATCTGCCTTGGCTTTACTTCGCCGCCTTTGTCGTGGCGTGACTGTCCGTGCAGCAGCATTAAACCAACTGATTACACTGTTGCTAAGAGACCTGTTGATGTCAGTCTGCTTTATCAGTGTTGGAGCTTCATCATGACTGGCATGTGTTTGCACAGGCTCTCTGACGCAATTCGCTGATGGTTCATTCAGGGATTATAGTGTGTGGATAGTACAAAAGAAAATCCTGACACAAATCAACTTAATTTCCCTTTCATTCACTGAAAAGTGCACAAAATGTATCACAAAGCATAGAGAAAATCCAGAAAGCCTACATTTTCAAGTCAGTTACCTTAATGTAAACGCACATTTCAATATATTGTAATAATGTCTTTTTTTAACAGTACTGTGTTTAAAGCTCATGTGATCTTTACTTAAAGGGGAAAGGGCACAAAGGGTTTTGCTTAGGAATGCCATTGCCCCCCAGTCATATGATGGAAGCTCCTAAAATTGAAAATGCAAGTCATCATTGTTTCCATATGGGGCTCACAACAACCAATCACAGTGCTTTTTTCTGAAACGTCCCCCTCGGAATAGTTGCTTAAGAGTGCGAGTGTTTGCAAAACTGTTCTAATGATATTTGTTCTATTAACAAATGATTATATCTTAGTATGTAAAACATTAACAATAAATACAGTACTTTTTGAAAAAGGTCTCCCAGTTAGTTTGAGTTTAATGTGAGATCAAATATTCACTATAGGGTTCAAATCTGGACTCTGACCATGGCCGAAACATAATCCCGATGAACTTAGTCTCAAGCTACTTCTACTTGGTTGCTTTTGTAATTTGGACAGGGGCATTGTCTTGCTGAAAAAGGACATCTGATCATTCCTGTTTAGATAACAACTGTTCAGTTGGTTGTGGGAAGCAAGCCATTCTGTAATATTCTAAAACTTCTTGTGCATTTTCTTCTATTTTGATAATTTCCTAATCAATAATTTATGATTAAGACAATTAAAACCTTATTGTTCAGCCATTTCGGGGTGGGATATTTTGCCCAGGAGTGTATATAAACATCTTACTCACAGAGTTGTGACACGCTTTGTTACATTCATCCTCACAAACTTCACTTTAGGATATTTTCTAATCAGAACTGTTTTAAACTCTAAGGCTGGGAAGATTCAGACTCTTACCATGGAGGAGAGGGAGCACATCTTGCCCATGATGAGGAATGCTCAGTGGGTGGAGGTGGTGGGGAGAGATGCCATTTACAAAGAGTTCCTCTTCAAAGACTTCAATCAGGTAATAAACTATGTAAAACTGCCAAGAGAGATGCAAATGCAAATGCAATGAAACTATTTAGAGTGACAAACTACCGTATAGCCTATAGCCTACCCCATGACAACTCTTTTCCCTTTTAGGCTTTTGGGTTCATGTCCAGAATAGCACTACAGGCTGAGAAAATGGATCATCATCCCGAATGGTTTAATGTGTATAACAAGGTAAATTGATAGGCCCATCGTCATCAGGCTAGCATGGCATTCATGCCTAAATAAAGAATTAGAAATTGCATTGTAATAATATGTAGACTACTGATTAATCATTAAAAAGACCATGAATGTGTGTGAAGAACATAAATGTGGCCAATTTTGATTTCATGTTGACTGTCATGTCTGCCTGTTTTATCTCTGGTAGGTTCAAATCACCCTCAGTACTCATGAATGTGGAGGAATCTCGCAGCGTGACATCACCCTCGCAACCTTCATAGATCAGGCCTCTGTCTATTGAATGGATCCTCTCTCTTGACAGCTTGTCAGTCAACCTCTGTAGCCTGTAAAACTGGATCAAAAATATTGTAAATCTTCATGCATCGCAGTTATCACCATAAGTCAAGTCTTGACTGTTGTCCGCCTGTTACACTTTATCTTTTCCCGATAAGTATTAATAGTACATTCAAGACAAATTTCATCTTTGAAATCATTTCACTTTTACAGTACAATGATCATTGCTAGAATTGCTAGAACACCACAGAGACCGGTGAAACACTATTACATTACTGTATTCTATTATAGTATTTTTTTAACTAAATGTATGGTGCCTTTATTTGCATTTGATCCAATGATGATCCAATGGTTAGTGCCTCAATGAATTAGAATAAATTGAATGTTTGTCAACTTTGGCATGTGAAATCAATGTATTCATTTGCTTCCCATTTAATCAATGATGAACCCAAAAAGCACTTTTGGTTTTAAAAATCGTACTACTTTTCAGCATTCAAGTTTTAAAAACTCAAGTCAGTGTGTTAGCGTATTTTCATTCACTAGTTAGTTCTAGTTAGTGTTGCATCTTGCACTTTAATGCAGGCATTCTGTGTGATCGACAAATGCGTTTGTTTTTTAAAAAACCCAAGGATTAGAAACGAGTTATGTTTTGTAACCCTAGAATGCCAAAAACCAAAAAACCTACATAAAGGGTTCAAAATGGCCCATATTGGAATTAATGGTTTTCTTCAAATAATAGGTGTCCTATTAATGAAGTAATTCAAATTATTGACGAAACACAAATGTATTTAAATACCAAACATGTTTGTACTGTTGTACTTTTTCTCTACTGCATCTGAAATCGCATAACAAGAAGGTATCGCATCGCAAGAAGGTTCTACTTTTTTCATGAACTTCATGACTGTTAAAGTATGCATGCAATTAGTATAAATCATTTATATATATATATATATATATATATATATATTTTAAGTAATACATAAAGTTAATATAATCACTGAAAAATTTTAAACAGAAATACGGTTAATAATTCAATAAAAATGAATATGTGTAAATTTGACCCCCTTTATGCATTCTAGGGTTAAAGTTGAATTTTTAACTTGAACACAGCGTTTTAGAACGTGAGACACTGCAAGAGACACGATTGCTTTGGTCAAACATATCAGTCGTGCATGCTTGCATAAATGAACAATGGAAAAGTATCAATGAAATCACAAAAACGCAAGATTAAGTAAAGTGGACCCAATCAGACATGTCATTCTGTAAAACGGTGAAAAGTAAATATATTACGCGACTAGAATATTCATATTTCTTTTAAGACCATGTTTATTGATGTATATTAGGAACAAGAAAACATTACAGGACAAATTTGAAACAAATTGCATGATGTGGTAATGGCCTTGTCCCTGAGGCAGATTTAGCTACTATGTTAGCCTAATAGCCCACACCCTGACGACCATGAAAGGCATTTAGGTGAATGCTATTAGTTTTGTGCTTCATACAACCATAACCATAGAGGTCATGTAATGCTTCAAATATTAAGATCAAGGTGCCTCAGTTTCAGTAGTTACAGTAATTACAGATTATTGCATAATGACATTAAAATTCTTAATTTAGGCAAGAAGGGTCGCTTTTTGAAGACAAAAATCCACATCTATGTCTTAGCCTAAGGCATGTTACAGTTCTTGAGAATACACTGTACTACAGTGGTATCATAGAAAAAAAACTATCCCGCCTCCTACTCGAGTCCCCAAAAGAGGTTAAAAAAGTACATGGAAATTACTGAATTGAAAAGAAAAAAAAAAACATTGAAATATGAGACATTATATTAGTGATTTAAAATATTTAAAAAAAAAAAAAACACACAGTGGTCACAAATATTATAAATGCTTATGGGATTATATAGCTGACAAGATCTGATGTGATGTTTCCATGGTACCATGTCATCACTTCCTCATATCACTGACTTCATGCACAAATTAATTTCCCTTCTTGTTGTTCCAGGGCTTAGCTGTCATTCAATTGAGTTAAGCTGGAACAAAGAAACCAAACAAAAACAACACACAAATATAACTCAAAGGAAAATTCATTAATCAATTGAAAGACAGCTGAAACCCTTCAAACCATACTGTGAAAGCCATAACCTGGAGCACTTGTGATTAAAATGTCCACTTAGGTGACATTTCTCAGAATTTAGACAAAAAGGAAACAATCAATTATTAATTTTACAATTATTTGAAATAGATTTGAGGTAGATAGGGTGAAATGTGGTCATTAAAAACCCATATGATGGGAATTTCAACCAAGTAATATTGACTGCATACCATGGTCAATGTATTTGTTACATTTTGTCCTGATATCAGGTAATTTAAAAATTGTGAGATATCTTTTCAATAAGATGGATGTTTTGCGACTGGACTATAAAATGTCTACTAGATATGGGGAATTAAAAATAAATAAATAAAACTAAACATTTGTAAAATAGGTTTACCTGAGCAGCCCTACCATTCTAAAATGGTCTGTTATGTTTTCAAGTTTCTATTGGGAATATTAAAAAAAGACTAACAGTGTGTTTTTTTCCATTTTGATCAGATTATAGGATTTTATCCTAATCTGCATTATTTATCTCTCAGAAATTGTCCAAACTGTTTGTCAATAACCTGGGTGAAAAAAAATAAATAAATAAAAATCACCAGATGTTAAAACATGATGACAACATTATATTTAAGTGTCAGAAAACACTTCCAAAAATAACAGTGGGAGTGTGATCAAATTCATATGGTGTGCACTGGTCATAAAAATAAGAAATGAAAGAAGTAAATCTGCACTCACTACAGATATCCCAGACCCTTCACAGATTCACATAGATACTTGTGCAGCAATCTCCATAGTCTTACAGACAGGATACCATTGCTCCTCAGTCACGAATCCCAAAATATCAGGTGACTATGGCTTATACATAAAATCGTTAGTTGTAAATAGACGACTGAATGAAGTGAATGAATGATTAAATGATTGTGGTGAGCATCCCTTCAGCCAGCTAAGGGTGGAGACCCTGGCAGTCATTCTCAGTGCACTTTGGAGTTGCCATTCATGTGGTTCTTATGGTTTTTGTGGGGCTTGTTCTGTATCTTGGGCACCTCAGTGCTATAGAGGCAGTCCAAAAATCCCTGTGAGACCTCAGTCACCATTGATCGGTCAGGAATGGACTGGGCCATGCCATAGATGGCTCCCTACGACATTGAAAGAGGAGAGTTTACAATGGTAATTACATTAGGGTTTATTAGATGAAATTATAAGTGTACAACTTGACTGAAGTGGACTTATTGAAGCGATCATTTCGCCAGAAAAAAAGTATATTTACTGTAGTACTCGAAATGTGAAGTTTGACTTTGATACAACTCATACATCTCTTAAACATCTAGGAGTGCAACAGTATAGGAATTAGATCAGAAGTTTGAGGTTGAGGTTTTTGTGAAAGAAATGAATAGCAAGGATGCATCAACTAAACTAAAACAATACTAAACTTTTGATAATTCAAATCAAAGAATCCTAAAATAAGTATCAAGGTTAACACATTTTTTAACATTTATAATACTAAGAAATGTTTCTTGAGCACCAAATCAGCATTTCCGAATGATTTCTGAAGGATCATGTGACACTGAAGACTGGAGTAATGGCTGCTGGAAATTCAGCTTTGTATTTTTTCAAAGTAGAAAACAGTTATGTTAAATCATTATAATATTTCTCAATACTCCCATATTTACTGCATTTTTGCAGCCCTGGTGAGAACTGTTCAGAGACTTTTTTTTTCAAAAACATTGCAAAATTTTACTGACCCCAAACTTTAAAACAATATTGTAGATCGACTCAAAGTTGTACGATTTTGACCTTTTATTGTTAAGCCAAACTTATGAGTAAAATTGTAAGCGAATGGTATGTCTAATAAAAAGGTAACTCACCATTCCCGTGGTCTTCTCTTTAGGATTCTTCATGATGATGGCTACTTCTCTTTTCACATCACTGAGGAACTGCTCTGCTACTCCAGGCTGTGTGTGTAGCATTGTGACACAAATATGAATGCTGAAAGGGACCAACAAAAGATTTATGAACAATGATCTCAGAAACAACTTTTCTGACCAGTACCTAAAACATAAAGTAAATATGGTGAAATGTATAAAGTTTTTTGTGGTTGTTGTTGTTGCATTATTTGATTGTGGCATTGAATTATGACTAAATTTCATTCTGTTTCAGTACATTAATTTTCATAACTTGCACAAGCAACACATTTCTCTTTTTTAACCATACCTAGATGGGAACTGCAGAGAGTTGAGATTCCAGCCCTTTTGAGTCAGTGCATTAGATAAGCGAAAGATATCAAAAACATCAGAGCCTAATGCCACCACAGACACCTCTGGATCACCGAATACAAAAAGCCCATCTATTTTGCGGATTCTGTGGGAAGAAATTTTTGAGAAGTTGTTTCAGCACACAATGTCTTTCCTGGCATGTAAATGATACCTGCCATCCAAATTTATTTGGCACAGTTGATATACATTCAAAGCAACACTTTGCCTGTGCCTCATTAACTATTATGCGTTATATAAATTACATTATACTGACCCTGCTTTGATTTTGCGGGCTATCCCAATAATTTTCTTGGTGGCGTCAACGTATCCGTTCTCACCCATGTGCATCATAGTAGCCCAACAGGCTGCAATTATGCCTCCAGGCCGAGATCCAGCCATGGATGGAGACGCGTAAATTCCTCCCTGCCAGTCTGGGGCTACAAAATACTGGTAGTGGCGATATTTCCTTTCACTGTAGAGCACCACTGAGGAGCCTTTGGGAGCATAACCATACTGTGGAGACACAATGATTAATAATAATAATAATATTATTATTTTTATTATTATTATTAAGTAGACTTTGCATTTTTACAGTAATTTTCATTGCAATTACATTTGGGCAGATTACTCTCAACAGATTATTAAAAATATAAGTTGTAATTTTTTTTAATTTTGAAGTCCCAGAATAAAAGTTCAGGAGTAGCTCCTTTGCATAATTGTTTTAGTAATTAAAAAAGAAGAAGAAAAAAAAAAGTAACTTTTTTTTTTCCAAATACACTGCCACTAAAAAGTTTGGGCTTGGCAAGACTTTAATGTATTAAGGCTGCATTTATTTGATCAAAAATACAGTAGAAACAGTAGAGTTGTAAAATATAATTACAGCATTTTTATGTAATTTTCAGCATCATTACTCCAGTTTTCAGTGTCACGTGATCCTTCAGAAATCATTCTAATGAGCTGATTTGGTGCTCATAAAACATTTCTTATAACTATCATTATCCTGCTGCTTAATATTTATGTGAAAACTGTGATGCATATTTAAAGATTAAGGAGTTTCTGTCACTTTTGATCAATTTAATGCATCCTTGCTGAATGAATGTATTTCTTTCACACACACACACACACACACACAAAACAAAATGTATCGACTACAAACTTTTGAACAGTAATGTATTTTTATTTATTAATTTCTCACCTTATGTGTATCAGCTGAGATACTGGTCACACCTTTGACCCGGAAATCAAAGGGATCAAGTTTGAAACCTGCTTTTTCCATAAATACTATCAGGAACCCACCCAAGCATGCATCCACATGAAATGGGATGTTGTATTTTACAGCAAGCTGAAAAAAAAAGTTATAGAATGTATTTTAGATTCATTTATACAATGATACAAAAACACGGGATCCATTTTTTTAATAAGCAAATGTTACCGTTGCCACTTCTGCACAGGGTCCATTATTCCATGTGGGAACTGAGGAGCTGAACACACCAGCATTGCTGTATTTTTAGAGATGGCCCTCTTCATGGCCTATGGTCAAAAAAAGTAGTCGTCAAAGTTAGATGGATGTTAATATCCACAAAAACATTGAATGAATTAGAAATGTACCCGGTTACTGTGAACAAACCAAACAGCAGTACCTTCACATCAACTTTCATGGTCTTCTTGTCCAGAGGTATGTGAATGAGCTTCATCCCAAAGTAATGTGCAGCTTTGTCAAATGCAGCATGGACGCTCACGGGAGCAATGCTACAGCATAGACAAAACAAATAATATAAATCACTTTTTACAGAGGATTTGAAGTTGCACTGATTAAAAAAAAAAAAATTTCAAGTAAAATAAAACCGTAAATAAAAAAATAAATAATGTGCAGTGTTGGTTGACAACCACTGTTTATTGCACCAAGCAGAAAGAGAGCATTATAGCTAGCTGTGTGATGGATTTGTTTAATGAATAAAAAAAAAATACACTGTATATCAAACTAGCCATGTTTCTAACTAACCTTACTTCCTTTTTAGGCATAACATTTCTAACACAATGTGCTAAAACGTTCTGTTCTGTGTTTTTGAATGTTGTATGTTGTCATACCCCTTTAACTCTGTTTGTGTGAGTGTACAAATAACAAATATGGGAAATCAAACTAGACAGAGGTCTAGTTTCATTATTTTTGATCATGAAGTAATCACAGAAACAGAGTTTGTTCTACCTGGTAACAGAAGGGTTTGCATAAGAAAACCAATCAAATTATGGAAAAATTATTTAATGTTTCATGTAATTTTTGCCATACCTCCTGATTGCATAAAAACTTGTATTTGTGTAAACTGAATGTAATTTTTCTGAGATCCCCTAACCATGCTTAATGCTTCTTCTTGGAGTAAGTTCTCCGAGGAAATGTCGTGAATTACCTCCCGGCCGTGATTAAAGCTTTTAAGAGGAGATTTGCTGAAGTCTGTCTGTTTCGCATTGCGGGAAGCAAGTCAGTTAGGGGACCCAGGTATACTAAATGTCAGGGACGTCGATTTGGAGACGAGACCCAGGTACGTAGTTAGGTTTAGGGAAATATCTACAACAACTGCAAAGGCTGTATTTTTTTACTAGAACGAGACAGTACATACATCTCTGGGTGAATGATGCCACGTTCATGAGCCATGTCTCTGTATGCCTTGCATGCCATCAGGATGCTTTCTGTCCACCTGAGGTAACCTTTCATGAGGAAAACAACAAAACAAATAATTAAAATTTTAGTGAACAGTCTTCTGAAGAAAAACAATGGACTGACAAACTTATTCTGTTGCTGTGTGAATGTAGCCCATGTGTGAGACCCTCATAGCATTCTACAGATTTGGTTAAGGTGACATTCCCCACATTTAGCTATTTTCTTAAGTGGAAACAACTGTATTAATATGCAGCAGAACCTTTTTACAAATGAACTTCACGCAACCACATTATTGCATCAGATAATAGAAGATAGTGAGAAGAACTCACTGTGCCACAGGAATCTGGCCCTCCTTTAAATAGAGCGCAAGACATCCGCACCACTTCTGCCTCCATCTTCCTAACCCCAGGGAACAGGTCTGGGTGGAGGGGGTTTGTCCAGGCAAAGTCACCATACACCTGCAAATCAGAGGAACACAAAATCCAGGATTTATTTCTCGTTTCACAATGCCTTTTCTAGATTCAAAAGTAAAGTGCACATCTAAAAAAGTGTTTCTCAACCTTGTTTGTCACATGTATCACTATAAACCCATCAAGTAGCACTTCATCTACACCAAATCAAAAAAGCCCCATTAACTCTTAAACTACCATTTGGAGTCAGGAACATTAAATTATTTAAAAGCGACAGTAAAATTACAAATGATGTTCTTTTGAACATTCCAAATTTTAAAGAATCTTGAAAAGAAACAGAGTTTCCACCAAATGTTAAGGAGCGCAACAGGTTTGAGCATTGATAATTATCCAAAGCACTAAATTAGCATATTAGAATGATTTCTGAAGGATCATGTGACACTGAAGACTGGAGTAATGTTGCTGAAAATTCAGTTTTGAGGTCACAGAAATAAATTACAATTTAAAGTAGAAAACTGTTATTTTAATTTGTAATAATATTTCACAATATTGCAGTTTTAACTATATATTCCATCAAACCAAGTTTAGCCTTGGTGAGCATAAGAGAATTAAAAAAAAAAAAAAATTCTTAATCTTACCAACCCCAAACTTTTAAATGGAAGTGCATATTAAATTAGATAATACACTGGATGCAATTTATTACATTTAATAGTTACACTATTATTTTTATTTGTTTACTTGTATTATTCATTATTTTTACACTAAAAACAAATCAATACTTTGGGTGAAACAAAGACATCAGATAGCACACATATTCTGCATGTGATCCACAAAAACTTCAAAATCATTGCACGCATTTTCCTTGAGAATGAGATGAATCATGAGATCTTTTTTTTTGTCCAGTTTTACATATTAAAGGGGTGGTATAATGTGTTGGTAAAAGTAAAACAAATCTCTGATGTCCCCAGCCTGTGTATGTGAAGTTTTAGCTTAAAATATCCCACAGATATTTTATGTACCATGTTAAAGTTGTTACTTTTTGAGGATTAGCAAAAAACACACCATTTTGTGTCTGGCCCTTTAAATGCAAATGAGCTGCAGCTCCCGACACAAGTGGGCGGAGCTTCAAGAGTGCATTCAAGAGTGCAGCTCTGCAGTCACACGCTAAAATTTAATAAACTGTTCTGCCTTTTATGTTTAAACCACAGTCAGATTGACTACAACAGCTCTTCCTCTTCTCAACATGGACTACATGTTCCCAGGGGCGGGGTTTATGTAAATGTTAGGGTTAGTGACATCACTACTGGGAGGAAGTTTGTGTAGTTCCTACTAGCTGTTTGTTGTAGTCCATAAAAAACTATTTCTTTAAAAGCAAATATCTCCCTTTGCTTTGAACTTTGAGAGTTGCAACTTCGCAGATGTTGTTTATGCTCAAACAGCAACATCACACAAAGTTAGAAAAGCAAAATCATAATCAACCCCTTGAACACCTGATCCAAATGATTTAAAAAGCCCATTATACCTTCACTAGGAGATCTGTGAGCTTCTCATCCCCCCAGTAGACTGCGCCTGACACTTTGCCTTTCGCCCAGTCTACCTCACCTGAAATCAGAAGTATAAAAAAGAATTGATGACAGAACAAAAGTGGGACACTAACTTGAAATATAAACCAGCTGAATTATATCCTAGTAAATAAACTCGCTTGCAAAGAAACTGCACCCACACTCCTGTAGGGCAAATTCAGTCTGAGAACATCTGGCTGGCACTTTAAGAGTTTCTGATTAATCTTTGAAGCATTTGGGCTCTCCATCATTATAACAGATGGGAGTTGGGACATGCTGAAGGTGACTCACTCAGTGTCTCATATTCCCTGATCTTGTCAAGGAGCTGTTTTTGGGTGAGGCCTTGTGCTGGCAGGTGTTTGGTGTAGCTCATGCCTTCCTTCAAGGTGCACAGACTCACTGACATGTCATCCAATGCTTTGTTGAGCTGACTCTGAATCTGATGAGGGAAAAAATAGGGAGAAAACAAAAAGCGTCAAACAAACCACTGAATATTTTATTAAAACCAGAAATATAGGGGACAGAGGAATTGAGGGGAAAATAAACCTTTATAAATTCATTATTTTAAAATATTTACCTTCAACAAAAAACATCAAGGTGTAAACAGAGTTTTTTACATTACAAAAATAATGAAATAAAAAAAATATAGAAACTGTTTCATTGCAAAATGTAATGATAATTATTAACAACTATTATTTTATTAAATAACCTACAGTTCTTGAAACTTACAGAATCACAAAAATAATTAATTTAACATATATACATCTAAAGTCTCAAATTTTTCAAAAAAAAAAAAAAAAAAGTTAGGGAAAAAAAGGTTAAGAACCACTGTCTAAAGGGCGTTAAGTTTGTAATAATTTGTAATGTTAAGCTGGTTAGTTGCATCTCAATAAATATCATAAAGAAGAAAAGGCAGACTCAAATCAAAATCAACCTTCAGTCGGTTCTGACTGGAACCGGACGTATTACAATCTATTCAGGTTTATGACCTAAAGTAAACCCTGGTATAGTCACAGGATCATATTATGAAAGTGTGATAAAAGCTTTATTTCCACTTAGGCATTGCAATGGTGACTTAATCATCCATCAGTGAGTCAGAAAGAGAAGTCTGAAGGAAGAAAGGGAACTTTAAAACCACTAGATGCTTACCGTTGCTCCGACAAATGGGATTTTTCTGATGATTTTAAAGAATTGCTTCTTTACTCTTGACGTCAGGCCTAGAAAACACGAACAATGAGCAAATTGTGGTGAAGATGTGACATGAAATGAGTCCACAGAGACATTTTTTCAATTCTGAGTTGCTTTACAATATTCCAGCCTGTCAATGCAAGAGACTTTCTAAACAATCTCATATTTTTAGACGTAGAGTCAATTGAAGTTTGGCATGTAAAATTAAACAAATGAGAGACCTCCGTGTAAAAATGGTTTTTGGCTTCCTCTAAAACCATTGTTTCGGCTTGATGACACAATGAATTAAAAAACAACTGCGGCAGATTTTGTTATTTTCAACTTGTGGCCTTGACGTTTTGCAACAAAGAGGGACAACATGATTATTTGCTTACGATTAGGTTGCAACATAATGATGTTTCAGATTGTTTCACTGTAACATATAAAACTGTAGCTTATGAGTATGAAAAGAGTAAATCAACCATTATATGCACTGAGTATTATTAACCATACTAGAACAAATATTTGAAAAATGAAAACACAACAAAAATTCATTGCTGTTGTTCTCTTCTTTATTGACTCTGGGATAGACACCTTTCAGATCATGCACACATTGCCATTCAAAAGCCAGCCAGTAAAATTGTTTAAAAAAGAAAAAAAAATATTCAGCAGGGATGCATTAAATTGATAAAAAAATGTCAATGAAGACTTTTTTATAATGTAACAAAATATTTCCATTTCAAATAAATGCTGTTCTTTTGAACAATCTATTCAAGGATTATACAATTAAAATAAAATTAAAAAGTATCACAGTTTCCAAAAAGTATAAAGCAGCACAACTGTTTTAAACATTGATAATAATAATAAGAAAATTTTAGAATGATTTACGAAGCATTATTGATACTGAAGACTGATGTAATGATGCTGAAAATTCACATCACAGGAATCAATTACATTTTAAAACATAAAAGATTATTATTGTAAATTTTAATAATATTTCACAATTTTACTGTTTTATGTTTGATCAAATATATGCAGCCTTGGTGAGCAGCATAAGACACTAACAAAAACATTTTAAAAAATCTTACTGACCTCAAACTTTTGAATGGTAGTGTAAACCTGACCACATATTTAATATGCCTGATGCATTCAGATGTTCAAAGACAAGAATGATCAATAGCACTTACTATCTTGCTGGAAAAGGAAGCCCTTCAGCCACATCGCTCCGAGAGTGGACAGCAAAGTGGCCGCAATGATCTGCCATGGCTCCAGACCAGCACATTGTGAATTCACAAAGCGCCGAGCCTCCTCTATGTACAGCAGCACCATCTCCTTATACACCTCCAAGGCACTCTGCATGAGGAAAGGAGACAAGTTATTGTCAATAAAGGCAACCTGACCAGAAAAAAAAAACCCAATCCGATTTCAATAAACAGCTAGAAAACTACAAAGCTCAAGCAGGTCAAGACAGACTCAACAAATATACCAATAACTGGCTACTTACCAGCAATTACAAGCCTCAGCCACATTAAATAATCAATCAAACATTGATAGAAGAGTCAATAAACAACCTACTAGTGAAATTCTTCAGGGTTAGAAACTACTACAAAATGCTGGCTATATCAGTTTCCAGATTAGCATCTAGCATAACAACAACTAGTAGAAAATTAAAATCTAAATAAAAAAAGTCAAAATTATTCTTAAATACTTACTATAGAGGACTGACTCATGCTTAATTGTCTCAAGAGCTTGGCTTCACTAATGACACTTAAGATAATTGTGGCAGGAGAATATCTAACTTCAGCCACACACGAATCAGAGAGAGCTTAGTAGATAACTACTTTCACAGATATTGTTCATACTGACCACACCTTATTCATTATGAGAAACTGGCCGCACAAAACCCAAAGCAAAGACTTAAAATGGGCCTTTAAGGATATGAGTGAAATAAAAAAAAATCCTATAAAAAAAATACTAGTTCAAATATATTATACTGAAAAGTACATATTTATAAATGGCTAGTTTATCTCATTTAAACAAGCGAGAAAAAAAGCATATCTGGTGGACGCATTTCACAATCACTATTTTTTACAGCACAATGGTCTTGCTTGATAACAGCGCAGATTGTGTCCCATACCAGCATGCAGGAAACCTCGAGGTCAACAGAACAAAGTCTTAGCCAACCATATTCATGATTTCAACTCCTAGCAATCTGCAATGAATGAGCATCTCATTTCTTCCTTAAAAGCCAGACTAAAAGCTATAATTTGCACTCGGAGTATGTAAAGAGCACTATATTAGACGCATATATTATCTTGAATGTAGCACAATAAATGACACGTAATTAGACATTAAAAGGTATTCATTTTGTCAAGGAGATAATGAATAAATCAGACAACCCCTGAATGGAGTTCTAAGTCTGTGACAAGCTCTCCGACAGGTTTAGCAGGGTTTGCAAAGTGCAGCGAATGTAGAGGAGCAAAACAGGTCATGTTAGTGAGTGAACAACTGAAACTTTGACCAGGACTGAGGTGCATCATACATCCAGGATCCAAATGGAACAAAAAGATGAAATGTGCAACCTCAACTGCACTGAAACGAAATCTTTAAAGCCAGCATCCCATCAGTCAGGGAACGTGATTTCATCAAGTGCAACATCTTTGCTGACACTGGAGCGACATTTCAATCAACCAATCAGATTTGAGAGACAAGTTTACACTTTATGTCAAGTTTAGGCTTACAACCAGAATAGGTGCTTCTACATTAGTGTTATTCACTTTCCTTTGATTTTAGGGAGAAGTTATGGGTAGGGTTTTAGGGGTAGCAAGACGGGTTAGGACTAATTGTTGTTCCAGGATCAATGAAATATGATGACACAGGATTCAGGAACATGTCTTACTTGGCAAAACAACGGTGACCATCAGTCTTAAGTAACATGACCTACACACAGCTTCTCAGTGCATAATGTGCCATAAAATGCTGAGATTATGTTATCTTGTAAAAGGGGCAAAAGGCAAAGACAACAGAAATACATTGCAAAAGAGATGTACACGTCTGCTGTGTTATACAACAAGTCTTCTAACATGACAGATAACACGATTGTGATAAAAGAACATGTATGAAGCACTTGGATGGGTTTAGTTTGAATCGATCCGTTTTTATAAGAAAAATAATGTGGCCTCTAAACACTTGCTCACAAGTCCTACTACAGACAATCACACCTCTCTCTACTCAAGCTTTGATTATTTGTCCGTTGTTGAGACAAAGAGCCAATGATTCCAACATATTAACAGAAAGTGCTATGTGGCAGCTCAGTCTATCTTTCATAGCACTCAAGACAATGTCTTTGATAAAGTGTATATAGTAAATAAAAGTTGGAAGTCAAAATGAAAAAAAAATGGTTTAATTAAAAAAGCTAAAAGTATATACACAATTGCTTTTAAATGCAATTACCCATACACTGACTATACCATTCAAAAGTCTGGGATCAGGATGATTTTTTTTTTTTTTTTTTTTAGATATAAATACTCCGCAAGTGACAGTACAGATATTTAGAAGGGCAAAAAAGATTTATATTCTTTGGAACTTTTGGTGGGGGTTAACATTAATAATCATACATTTAAGAAGAGTATCTTCTTTTGTGTTCCACATACGAAATGACACACGGGTGACTATATGACAGACTTTTATGTTTGGGGTGAAATTTCCCTTTCGTAGAGCCCTGAAGTTAATTCACACACATTAAATCACTAGCATTCCCACAACGTCAGACAAGCCAAAAACAGTCTCAACAGATGCTGCTAAACCATATTCAAAACAGATTTTGCCCCCATTGTAGCTACACTCTTGTTAAGAATAGCACTTCCTCTGGGTTTGAGCCCGTCACAGGAAGGTTTCTGAAGAACACATACACAATGAAACATAAAATTCCCCTCTCTGCACCTGGTTGTTCCACAAAGACAAGTGATTATTACAGAGAGTTGTATAAAGGAGACACGGTTTTATAATAGCTCTCCTCTCTCACCTATAACAAACTGTGCATGATATGACTCCTTTACACAGCAGCACAGAAGACATAGGCTACACAAAACTATATATAGAACACGATAATAAACATGAACGGTATGGCATTTGGGCCCAGACTCTCTCTCTCTCTCTTGCTCTCCCTCTCTAAAAAACAACACTTCAAATGGATAATAATCTTTCTACATGATAAGATCGCCTGAATTCCCAACAGTGAACAAATGTTATATCAGATGAAAGTGGCACCTGAACCATCACAGCTCATCAGAGTAAATTAAGTAACGTTATGTCGACTAACAAAGCAAAGTAACATAATACGATTGACCAAAAACATGCTTATTTTATAGTTGATGCTTTAGTTGTGACATAACCATGGCTTGTTTGGATAGCTGGAACAGACTATTTTTAAAGCACAGCTGATTTCTAATTTACATCATACCCACTCACCCTGTAGTCCATTTTGTTTGCCAAGGTTACACCCGTCTGGAAAAAGTCGCTTCTTCAACTACTCCGGGAGAAATGGGGAAGACAGCCTGAAAGATCTTTGTTTGGCTTGTTTTGAGAGCGGATACCCCGTTGCATGACACAATCAGAGGAGCAAGCTTAACTTATATATCAGGAAGTGCCGTTTGAGTAAAAGGGGGCGCGATTTGCTTTCAGACGAGACTCCGCATTCGCTGATCTTTACATACTGCATGTGTCCTTCCTCAATGTGATTACTCCAGCACACATGCTCTTAGAATCTGTGAGAGTCACTAACTCCCTCTGCCGATTCGCAGATTCGACACGGGTTACATCTTTTCCAGGGAGTTCTGTGTGTAGAGTATCTTTTTAATAAATTAGTCGTTTAATGTAGCCTATTGTACTTTTATTTTTATATATTGTATGTATTTATTTATTATTATTGTTGTTGGTTGATATTTTATCATTTTATGTTTTATTTTTAAAAGTATTAATAATTTAAGCAACACATTTTTTTTTTTTGGAAAGGAAGGGACAGCCTAGAAAGCTTGATTAATATTCATTGCATGAATAATTTCAACATACATTAATGATCTGAGCTGCATTGATATTTTCTGGGATAAGTCAAGTCACCTTCATTTATATAACGTTTTTTACAATATATTGTTTCAAAGCAGCTTTACAGTGATAAAATAAAAACAATGCAACAAAATTTGTTGAATATTATGGCAAACGTATGTGTTGTTTTTATATGGTTTCATGCACATGCTGTGCTTTGAATGGTCACTTGGTGGCGCTTTCATCTTTTTCTCATCAAACAAACAACGAATGGACACAACCCTACACAATCCGTACAGGGAAGAGCCAGACAGGACTTTCTTCTGCTTAAAGGATAAGTTCACTTAAAAAAATAAAAATAATAATAATAATAAAAAAACAAATTTGCTGATAATTTACTCACCCCCATATCATCCAAGATGTCCATGTCTTTCTTTCTTCAGACGAAAAGAAATGAAGGTTTTTGATGAAAACATTACAGTATTTTACTCCATATAATGGACTTCAATGGACACCAAAATTTCAAGGTCCAAGTGAGAGTTTCAGCTTGAAAACGCTTTAAACGTTACCAGGCGATGAATAAGGGTCTTGTGTAGCGAAACGATAAAAAATAAATAAAAAAGTTTTATAAGCACAAATGCTAACCTTGCTCTGTGCTGTGATGCAGGTTTGTGACTCTCCTGTTCGAACTCGTTAATCAAAATGAACAAATCTTTTTCGAGTCATTTTGTTCATTCAACGAACGAAATGACTCGCAAAAAATATTTGTTTATTTTGATTAACGAGTTCGAAGAGGAGAGTCACTAAAGCTGCACTGAAACTGTGACATGGACCTTGAAACGTTGGGGTACATGAAGTCCATATGGAGAAAAATCCTGTAATGTTGTCATCAAAAACCTTCATTTCTTTTCGAAGAAAGAAAGACATGGAAATCTTGGATGACATGGGGGTGACTAAATTATCAGCAAAGAGCGTGGCATGGTGTTGGTGCCAGACGGGCCAGTCTGAGTATTTCTGCTCAGTTACTGGGATTTTCACGCACAACCATTTCGAGGGGTTTAGTACTGTGGGCGAAAATGCCTTGTTGATGCTAGAGGTCTGAGGAGAATGGGCCGACTGATTCAAGCTGAAATAACCACTCGTCACAACCGAGGTATGCAGCAAAGCATTTGTAATACCACAACATGCACAACCTTGAGGCAGATGAGCTACAACAGCAGAAGACCCCTCCGGGTAGTACTTATCTCCACTGCAAATAGGAAAAAGGCTGCAATTTGCAAGAGCTCACTAAAATTGGACAGTTAAAGACTGGAAAAATGTTGCCTGGTTTGTTGAGTCTCGATTTCAATTGAGACATTCAGATGGTAGAGTCAGTATTTGGCGTAAAAAGACATGGATCCATCATGCCTTGTTACCACTGTGCAGGCTGGTGGTGGTGGTGTAATGGTGTGGAGGATGTTTTCTTGGCACACTTTAGGCCCCTTAGTGCCAAATGGGCATCACCTTTGGGATGTGGTGGAACGGGAACTTCGTGCACTGGATGTGCATCCCACAAATCTCCTTCAACTGCAAGATGCTATCCTATCAATATGGGCCAACATTTCTAAAAAATGCTTTGAGTATGCCACATAGGGGGTCAAACATGGTTTTATTATGGTGCTCCTTATAATCCTTTAGGTATAGGTTATGCGTATTTTACTTATGTCAAATCCTTAAATGAATGGTATTCAGAAAACTAGTCAGAAAACTAGTCATGTAGGCTATATAAAATATACAAATAAATATACCATTGTGCCTTTTATTACAAAAAAAACAAACAAAAAACATTTAACTTAGTTTAAACAAAGCCTAAACTAATTTCTTTTAGTCTTACTCTTAACTGAAACTATGTTTGGTTCGCGCATTTCTCATTCGGTCCAACATTTTAAGGTCACATTTGTAAGCTAACTATTAATGTAAAGAAGGTTTTGTTCAGTCGAGTCCTAATATCTAAAGGCTAAATCAGTATCACCAAGGGAAATTAGTTTGGAAAAAGCAAGTTATGACTGACCGGCACAGCATTTATATTAGCCTAGCCTATACAAAAGATAAATTAAATTAAGCAGAATAACTTTTTATATGTTTGGTTGACTCTATTATTTTAATATTGAACAGGCTTCGATGTCTAATGCCAGAAGTGAACTGATAATATGTTGTGTGACTACGATGTGCGCCGGCGTCATCACTTGGATTTGTTCCTCAGCTGGGTAAATAACTTAATACTCTGTCATGCGAAATATTAAAATGCATATTTTTATTTGTGTACTTTCAAAATGACTACAAAATGTCACTCTCGGTCTCCTTGAACATTCTGGCGCATACAAAAAATGGACCAAAATACAGCAAATAAAATAAAGAAAACATCATGATACCCTGAACATGACTTTTGAAACCCAACATTTAGATTATTTGAAGTAAAATGCATTATATAGTAAGTGTGTCACTTAGGAATAAATCACAGCGTGCCTCATCATGATCCAAAACATGACTTTACAGGCCGGAAAATATAGGAAAAGAGAAAATTACTTTAAGGACCACCTCGCAACTTGAGAACTGCTGGTCTGCACAAGAAAGTGTTTTTTGCATTGGTTTAACGGTGTGGGTGGTTACGATTTTGTGGAAAGTAACAGGCTACGACCAAATAAAACAATACTTCAGCAATATCACATTTTTCTTCAAGATGGCAGATTTCATGTTTTCTTTTCTTTTCTGTTGTTTTCTTTTATTCAAAGAATTGAACAAATTTAATTTACTTGGTAAAGATGGAATAAATGTATTCTGTGTGGCTTAAATATAGTATTGGTAATCAAGCATGTAGGCCTAAGCTAAATGCAAAGCTTAGTTCATAGATTTTTTTTTTTTTAGTTTTTCAAAACGATTTACAACTCTTAATATGTATTTTTTTTTTTAATATAATTTTAGTCTATTTTCAGCATGCTAATGGAAAATGTATTTCCCCCAAACCTTGGCAAGTTACATCAATAGTACGAGAAATTCGATTCAAGTCTGTGCTGAATGTGGGTACAATTTGGAGAAAAGCTGCAGTTGAACCCACGCATTCACAGCCGCACCAAAGCTTAATTATTGAGGGTGACCCCCGATTGCTCAAACCAAATAGAGTTTTAGCAAGAAGCTCTTGCCTATTCAATTATAATTGGTGTATTCGGTCATAACAAGCATATGCGTTTTAGCACAATGGGTAGACTCTAAAAGAAAGCTCAAAAGCACATTAAAACTGCATTACTTCTTCCAAGAAGTGTCCTCAAGATCTTTCTGGTCTCGATGCGCACACCGTTCCAAAAGCGCACACGTCTCCAAAGGTGCACGTTTTACCACACAAAAGAGTTGACATTGTTTGAGTTTTAACAAGAGGTGTACATATGGCATCCGGGTTGTAATTAAATGTTTTTAAGTTGTTGTTTTTGTCTTCTCAGTGAAGTTTCCTTTTCTTCTTTATGTGCAGCCTTTTCCGCGTCTGAACAAGAGAGAAGAATTAAATAGCTTTTCTGCCAGTTTGGGACAAATGGATGGCAAAAAGCTGGTCAGCGAGTTTTGGTCCTTGATTGCCTTCTTCAGATGCCCTTCAAACAAAGGCTGAGGGGGGGAAATAAAGCCCCACCTGGTACTTCTGTTTGTTAAAATAATAAGAAATAGATTTCGTTTCATAAATAACTACAACAGATTGTAAAGTGCAGCAGTTGAAGAAGTAGCCTATCAATCAAGAGAGCGAGGTCAGGTATCACCTGCTCTTCAGTATAGGGCGCATTTATTGTTAAATCATGTTCTTTCTTTGCGATATCTTTGATTTCCACAGCAACAGGTCGCCTATGTTTGCCCATACTTTGCATAACCAGCAAGATATTACTCTGCACTGATAAAAATCGGATGACAAATCTGACAGTCCCAAAACCACACCTGTCCCGCGATATCCCAATATGGGTCTGCCATCAAAGGCTATTTGTAAAGCGGTAATATTTGGTTTACTTTGGATTATTTCGAGGACTTTATAACAGCACGACAACATTCCCTATCTCCTTGCTTTATTTGTCCATTTTATTGAAAGCATATGGTTATCAGATGTCTTCCAAAATACATATTTAGTTAGACTGGCGATGAGTGCCTTTGTGGACACTTGGGAACCATGGTAAATATTTTGCGCCCATAACAGGGCTCTTGGTCACTCCAATAAATTGAGATTTATCAAGACTTGGGGCCAAGAGTAAACTCGTGCTATCCGACCATGTTGAAAGTCTTGTTTGCAACTGTGACTATATTTACGACGCGCACTTAATGTACTTAATAACGGACTCCATTTGGAGACATCACTGCGCACGCATTTTATTTTCTTAAATAAAACTTTCACGCATAATTTTCTGTGTTTTCATTTGCACAAAGGAACTGCTCCTGTACATTGACACACGTTATTCCACATTTTCTTCGCTTAAATATAAATTTCCCAGGGTTTTGCGCACTACAACACAATTTACGCACAGGAAAATCACCATAAGACGCACAACGGCAATGACACTAAAATAATATTGTTTATCAGTAAATATTTTCAGCTCTGTTATTGAAAATTACTTGTTAAAAGATAGGTGTATAAGTGCCACTAAAAAGTCCCCGAACCACGTATGTTCATAATACCTACATCGTTTTTTAACGCTGTGACAAGGTTACCAAGTTGTCACCTGCTGCGTCTATTCCTGCTCCAGATCCATTAACTTTTTATACCACCCATTCCAGAAGCTGGTGTTTGAGAAAACTTCATGCGTATTCAGTCCCATTATTAACTCAATCGTGATAATAGCATTCATTGTGGGGAAAAGGCTTACATGCCACTATATATTTGCAGTGGGCTGTTTCACTTGGTGAAATTATGACTCTTAATATAAACGAGAAAAATTGTCTAATATAGAAAATGACAGACAATTATAGAAAACTTCACCTGAAAATTTCTATCCTGTTTTAAACTTTCTCTCTTAGTTTATTTCTGAAACTATGAATGTAATTTTTTGGAAAGGACCGACTCAGTTCTGATTGGCCACTTGACAATTTGTTTGTTCAAGAGCGCAGACAGGATAAAAGGACATTAATGACGAATGGGCGCATCACCCTCTATTGTCCTCTTGATTTATATATGAAGGGAATGAATAAAGAGACTGCATGTTGCTCACTGATAGACAGGACTCCTAGTGATCTAGATTCCAGACCAACACCCTCACGGAGCTTCGGCGTCACCAAGCCAGTCTGCAAGAGGTAGGCTAAGCATCTAAAGTATGATAGATTTCTTAGAGATTGTTATTCGAGACCTTGGACTAAGGATGTCCAGTTGTGTTTTATGTTTACAGAATGACTCCAAGATCAACGTGCGCTTCAGGAGGAAGGAATGGGACCTTTAAGTCTAGCTGGAGTTCGGCATTAGATCTCAAGTCTGGATCCACCGACATTACCAAAGGTCAACAAATTAAATACAACAGAGAATATGAGCTTGGCAACACAGACTCGGCGACTAAGGAAAGCGCATCTTCCTTCGGCGAAGAGAACACAAGAAATAAAAGAATGAAGAAAAAGATGCCAGTTAAATCAGCAAGCAGACAACGTGGGAATCGCAGAGGGAAGGCAAACGACAGAGAAAGGCACCGCATGCATAAGCTGAACTCCGCTCTGGATACTCTGAGAAGCGTGCTTCCAACTTTTCCAGATGACGCGAAACTGACTAAAATTGAGACGTTGAGATTCGCGCACAATTACATTTGGGCATTGTCAGAAACACTGAGAATTGCAGACCACGTTCGACAAATTTCAAATCACGTTCGGGATCAGTGGAACGTCACGGTGCCAAGTGCTGACTTGGAAGCGCGTTACAGCGCAACAAGCTCGTGCGCGTCCAAGTGGCACTCCACAAACTCATCATCAAATTGGCAAGAAACCCAAGGCCACTACACTGATTTGTTGCTTGAGCAATTTAACAGTAATTTTCAGGACAACCTGACATTTTGATTTGCTGAGGAAAGTCTAATCTGCGAGTAGCAAAACAAATCAATTGCAAAAGTTAACTATTGCTATTAGTAGCTACTACGAGTAGGCCATGACACGTTTCAGAGCTGCTCATATGTGTATTAATTTGACTTTTCGTTAATGCCTGAAAAACAAAAACATAATGATTTGATCATTTTAATTTTTCATACGTTTTATTGCATGCTTCCATTTGTATATGACGATGACCGACAAATCAATGTTGTAAATATTGTTTCTGATGTTTCCTTCTTCCTTTTTTAATTCAAGCTAATAAACAAAAAGTTATTTTAAAAATCTTGTTTTCATTCGAGTGCTTTTGTAGAATATAAATTGTACAATCAAGTATAATATATTCATATAGGCTACAATGCTTCAGTGTGAAGCAAGCTTGCATGTTGTAATTTGACTGACAGGGTTCTGCGCATGCGCTGTACACCAGCTGAGTTTCCAGAGCAACAGGCATCTCAATTGAAAGAAAAAAAAAATACAAAATTAAACCTTAATTTCTTAAGCTAAAAAAAAAAACCACCCAGACACAATGTCTCTAAATATTTCATTTCGTAAACAAACCTTGTTACCATTGTGCGTTTTTCTATATGCAGCATATGCTGTGTTAAATAAACTTTTAGTTTCAATTTGTATACTCTTGCAAGAAAATTGCAAGTAATTTTGATTAAGTTCACTTTTGAGATTACAGCTGCAGAAACAAAAAATATTGCATTCTGACTGAAGTATGAGTGTGTCTGTGCTTTCAACGCAACATTCAAATATTCAGTCATTGTAGCCTTATAATTATGCTTCTGCAGAATGGCTTTTCACGAGTTCACACTTACATATAATTAGAGTGGATACGATTAAATGCGCATTTGGCGTGATATCTGAGGGGAGGGCTCCGAGCTCGGAGTTTGGCCCAAAGTACTCCTCCTCTCTATGTAAGTCTTTAAGACGTGTGGAGAAGGGGCCGGGGAAGGGATGCTGCTAAACTATCGATGGAGTGAGGTGAGACTGCTAAATCTATATACCTCTTATCATTGCGGAGTGCACTCCTCTCGTGTTAATTAACTAAACCTGCTCCTCCCGAACTTTGTTTATAAAACATAATTTATTGAAAGGCCAGCGCGATTCAAATGAACACACATTCCTAATCAAAAAAGCCTGTAAAAAGTCAATATTTTAATAAATAAACCATACAGAAATTTCACAATGGATATGCAACATTTTATTTTTCTACCATGGCTCAACAAGTTATTTCATAAAAAAAATATTGAGAATCCAAAAAGATAATATACATACAGGGAATAAATTTTACATACCAATGTGTGTGAGAAATATGACCATGATTACAGATTACATTTCAATGATCAACTTTTTATGCAGTAAGAGGTCTTAAGACACCCTAGCACCAATAATATTAGCCTTTTATAAAAATAGATACATGTATGGAATGTATGGAAGACATTGGAATGTATGATAACAATAGCACTTAATCTGGATAGACCCTATATACACATTTAGGTGATGTTGAATCACATTTCCTGATTATTGTTGCCAAACTCCCTTTAAATCTATGCACTTCTGTCTGAGCATGTAAGAGTTTTTTCAAACATTCATGCTGCCAAGAAAGCAGCCTCATCGGAAGACTATCCAAATAAAGTGGTACAGATTTCAGAAGGAATACCCCACATAAGGGAATGTGCAGTTTTAAAGTAGAATCTTGGCAAGATTCTACTTTGGAAAAACCGTGACAATGTCATAACCCTCTGGAGCAGTGACGCGTTCACGTGCGTGTTTCTCACAGTAAATCTTGTCCTCAACAAAAAAGTGTCCTTTCTGCTTGAGATTGATTCCGCAGTCTGTGCAAACGTAGCACTCTGGGTGACGAAACTTATCTCGGACTTTGACAATCATTCCTCTTTAAAACCAAAACAAAAAGAGAGAGATCAAAGTTACTCACAGTATAGGAAAACATGTTTGTTATGAGAGGCTCCTCACTGCAGAAGCAATGGGTGGAGCTTGACATCCAGCTCCCCTTCTTTGGATACAATGGGTGGAGCGTGAAGGTCTAGACACACCTTAGCCCGACTCAATCCATAAACATAATTAGGATAAGCCCCACACATTAGATCAACAGAGGTGGAGCCGGACAAGATCAAGCTCCACCCATTATGTCCAAAGTGGGGGAGCTAAAAAAAATACCCACACTTGTGGTCTTGGCCACTTGAGTGCACATGCTCGCAACAGGAAGTAAGTGCGCAAGACTGTACCATGTTTTAAAAATGCAAAAGTGCAGTGTCCTTAATGTACACTAAACCCACATCTGAGTGGTATTCTAGGCTAAGCGTATACCATCATGCATTGTTTGGGAACTCATGTGCCCCGAAAACGAGGAAAATATTTCACTGTAATTTAAATTAATTATATTCATATAATTTGGTAGTAAAACATTTTATTGGTGCAAAGATGAGTATGGTATGTGTAGGCCTTTTGCAACTGTTTTTGTCACTTAGAACCACATTTTTTTTTTAAATGTGTGTCTTCCGATAGTTACATAGTGACAACTGAACAACAGACATGTAGAAGTTTATTTAAAAATGCAAAGTGTTGGAAATATTATATATAGACCATTTCACAAGATGTAAACAACACTGGTCCAGAAACACTTCCCGTTTCAATTTTGTAACTGTTTTCTTTATTTCACATGTAAAGAAAACATCTTAAAGATGTTTGTTTAACTTTTTGATTCAGTTTTAAATGTTCTGTTGGTTGTATTTTATGCCAGCTTTTATGTAGTGTTAAAAAACTGAAACAGGAAGTGCTTCTGGACCAGTGTTGTTTAAATCTTGTGAAATGGTCTATATATATATATATATATATATATATATACACTCACCGGCCACTTTATTAGGTACCCCATGCTAGTAACGGGTTGGACCCCCTTTTGCCTTCAGAACTGCCTCAATTCTTCGTGGCATAGATTCAACAAGGTGCTGGAAGCATTCCTCAGGGAGTTTGGTCCATATTGACATGATGGCATCACACAGTTGCCGCAGATTTGTCGGCTGCACATCCATGATGCGAATCTCCCGTTCCACCACATCCCAAAGATGCTCTATTGGATTGAGATCTGGTGACTGTGGAGGCCATTTGAGTACAGCGAACTCATTGTCATGTTCAAGAAACCAGTCTGAGATGATTCCAGCTTTATGACATGGCGCATTATCCTGCTGAAAGTAGCCATCAGAAGTTGGGTACATTGTGGTCATAAAGGGATGGACATGGTCAGCAACAATACTCAGGTAGGCTGTGGCGTTGCAACGATGCTCAATTGGTACCAAGGGGCCCAAAGAGTGCCAAGAAAATATTCCCCACACCATGACACCACCACCACCAGCCTGAACCGTTGATACAAGGCAGGATGGATCCATGCTTTCATGTTGTAGACGCCAAATTCTGACCCTACCATCCGAATGTCGCAGCAGAAATCGAGACTCATCAGACCAGGCAACGTTTTTCCAATCTTCTATTGTCCAATTTCGATGAGCTTGTGCAAATTGTAGCCTCAGTTTCCTGTTCTTAGCTGAAAGGAGTGGCACCCGGTGTGGTCTTCTGCTGCTGTAGCCCATCTGCCTCAAAGTTCGACGTACTGTGCGTTCAGAGATGCTCTTCTGCCCACCTTGGTTGTAACGGGTGGTTATTTGAGTCACTGTTGCCCTTCTATCAGCTCGAACCAGTCTGGCCATTCTCCTCTGACCTCTGGCATCAACAAGGCATTTCCGCCCACAGAACTGCCGCTCACTGGATGTTTTTTCTTTTTCGGACCATTCTCTGTAAACCCTAGAGATGGTTGTGCGTGAAAATCCCAGTAGATTAGCAGTTTCTGAAATACTCAGACCAGCCCTTCTGGCACCAACAATCATGCCACGTTCAAAGTCACTCAAATCACCTTTCTTCCCCATACTGATGCTCGGTTTGAACTGCAGGAGATTGTCTTGACCATGTCTACATGCCTAAATGCACTGAGTTGCCGCCATGTGATTGGCTGCTTAGAAATTAAGTGTTAACGAGCAGTTGGACAGGTGTACCTAATAAAGTGGCCGGTGAGTGTATATAAGCTCTGTAAACACTTGCATATTTTGCAACACTTTAAGGGACTGTGTCCCATCAAGTAATCAAAAGATCTACAATCTACACACACTTGCAGACTTTACGACATTGCACTGCAAGTGTGTGTATTTGGACAAGGCAATCATTTGGCTCTGCAGTGAACACCACTCGATCATTAAGGAGAAATCTAAATCCAAAATATCAAGAAATTCAGTTCCAAAATGTTCCACGAGATGGCGACACTGGACATGAAACTACAAAGTACTTGAACTGTTCTTGGATGCATGCATTTCCTTAAAACTCCTAAAAAGATATACCAAAACAGTGAAACTTACACAATCCCTGAACCGCATTTTTCACATAGTGAGAGTCTTTCAGGATTCCCAACTGAGGCTCCAATTTTTGGGATGGGGGCCTTGACACTTCTGAAGCCAGAGGGTTTATCTCCATCACCTGACACAAAGAAACAAAGATGTTTAGGCTTTTTTAATAGGCCAGATCTTCTGATGCCATTTACAAGACATATTTCACAGCTGAGGCTACAGGCATGGAGTTAGAAACTAATGATTATGAATGACCAGAATTGCAGATACCCATTTTGTCAAGAAGCTAAGAGCTGGTCATCTTCATGTAATTCAGAAACAATGTTGCAGGGTATAGACAGTGCGGTAGATATTATACCAGTTTCCAGGATCTCCTGCAGAACTTTAAAAGAGGCAGACTGGCGAGGTGGCTCATTGGATTCTTGATTCTCCTGCAGCATTTTGTACACCTCAGAGTCTGCAGGTAATGCAGGCTTTGGCTGGCCAGGTTTATAGGGATCTGAGCTATAATACAGGAAGAAGGTCACATATGACAGTCACAAGACAAACAATGTTATCTCAATAGTATTGTTATTCAAGCCTATCCCAACTGGCTTGGTTCAGCCCTGACAGCCATAAATTCAAATAGCTATACTTAGACAGCACAGAACTGGAATGAATGTTGCAGTTATAGTGTTGATTTATAAGAGTGTTCATGATTAAGACAAACATCTTTTAAAAATCTAGTCCAGAACACAAGTCCTTTATTCTTAAAACTTTATATTCATGTTGATTTCATATGGTTTGTAATCAAGTAAAAACTAATAACATATTTTCCTTGCACACTGAATAAATGTGTGAACACAAGCGACAAAGACATTTATAACGGTACAAAATATTTCTATTTCAAATAAATGTGGTTTCCACAAGAATATTAAGCTGTTAAACTGTTAATAATAATAATATTGAGAAGAAATATTTCTTGAGCACTAAATCAGCATTATTAGGATGATTTCTGAAGGATCATGTGACAATAAAGACTGGAGTAAATTCAGCTTTGCCAGCACAGGAATTAATTACATTTTATTTATTATTTAATAGACTAAATTATTTTAAATTTAATATGATATAAATCACAATGTGGTGAACATAAGGGACTTCTTTCCAAAAAAAAAAAAAAAAAAAGAAAAAAGAAAATAAAAGGTACTGAATTTTTCAAGGTACAATTATTTTTCGAATATCATACATTATTAATTTATTAAAAACCATTAGGTTTTTGAGTAGTTGCCCCATGTGATATTTAACAACCTGTATTAACCTTGCCTTATAAAAAGGTCAAATCTTTTTATAATCTAATTTATAATAATCTAATTTTTAATAATTTATAATCTTTTTATTTTATAGTCTAGGGGTCCGCTTTTTCCTACATGTTGGTTGCACCATATGGCTTGGTGACAAGTATGTCAGTAGAGTGGTGTGCATCATGCTTACTTCCTACTGGCTTCATTGGAGACAGCAGAAGTCTGGACATCATCCACTGCGCTGTTGAAACTCTTAATGTTCTCAGAGGAATACAGGCCAGCGGGGTTATTGTAAAGGTTGGTGACCACCCTGGGACTTCCAGAATTAAATGGAATAGCACTCCTGTTATGAGCAGAACCTATTTGTTTTACCTCCTACAGAATAAGACAAGGAAACGTAAGACTATGAATCTCAAAAACACGGCAAACAGAGGAGAGAAGTTTAGAAATTTCTGTCATCATTTTACAAGACTGGGTGAATTTTACCCTTACATTTATTTAGAAGAACATTACACATTATAATTTCTGTAGATCTTTGCCCAGGTGCTAAAAGAACATGACAAAGTACATACATAAATACAGACAAAATGTAACAACAAAAAAAAAAAAAAAAAAAAAAAATTTATTCCACAGAAGAAAAAGTCATTGGACTTGGAAATACATGAGGGTGAATAAATGATAAGAGAATTTAATTTTGGGTGAACTATACCTTTAAGAGATAGAAACAAAGCCAAAGACATTAGGGCCCGGTTTCACAGATGGGGTTTAGACTAAGCCAGGATTAGGCCTTATTTCAGTTAGAAAATTTAAGTAGCTTTTATAAACATGCATCAGAAAAGGAAAAAAAAAAAAAAAACACATTATTGGTGTGCATCTTGAGACAAAACAATGGAACTGACATATTTTAAGATATGCTTTCAGTTAGAACAGCTCAAACATGCATTTCAGTCTGTGACTAGCTTATGCATTGTCTGTGAAACTGGAGGTATATCATATAATAAAGAATGCAGTGATACATAACTATTAGACCAAATAGATATAGAAAATATCTGAGAATTAATCATTACTTTTTAAAAATAAATGTAGATATTTTAACCAAGCTGATGTAAACAAAGACCATTAAACAAAAAAACAGACATAGAAAAGTTGCCAAAAACTGAGGTTAATGACACTGAAAGTTTCCTCTGTTAACAACATATTTAGCAGTTGTTTTTTATTATGTTTCGCTCTCTGCTTGAATCAGGAAACATTTATAACACCCAAACTATGTAGTCAAACTCCACACACTTCCTATGATCACTCACATCCTGACCCTAAGTTTCCAACTTAGCCTGCAGGATGTGGGTCTTGCGTCATGGCTTTGGCTGATAAAACTCATCGGTCTCCATGGATAAGGCTTGTTAGGACATAAACAATGACTTCACTTTGGCAGCCTATAAGTGACGTGCCTTTATTTGCTTAGCGGCTATGGACCTCCTGTTATGTATGACAGCCTCAAGCACAAGTTATGGCTTTAAAGCTCAGTGAAAATGATCATGGGTCCATTACCAGTTACCAGTTAAGCAGAGCTGAAACGCACCTGTGTATCTGTATTTGCCAGATTCATCTTGTATGGATTGGGCTTTCCTTCTTCAGTGACCAGTGGGGACCACATTTTTGTCTCTGATCTAAATAAAAATAAATAAATAAATAAATAAACTGTCATGCAGTGATTCAAATAATTGATTAAAATAAAAAGTATAAAATCAGGGCTTAAAAGTAAGAATGGCCTGATGACCAGTGTGAGAGAGTTTTGGGCAAGTTGATATAATTGTACTAATCTTGTATTGTGTAAATTTGCAAGGCATAAACACATTAGGTTTTCTGTCATGTATTGAACAATGTTGTTGCAAATTCTGCCTTGCCACACAGTTAGCGTTTTCTAGCTGACTGACACAGATGAGGATATGTCGAAATTTCAAAAAAAGTCTTTTGAATGACTTCAGTAAAAACAAGCTGAAAATTAGACCTAGCAATAATTCACAATGTATGCCATTGCTTTCCACTAAGTCATTGAATTATATTATACTTTCTAGCTATTATAACACATTAGAAACCTATTGATTTTTTGTAACAATTAATGAAATGTCCTTGTACAAATAGAAATCCCATTTAAAGGTACATGGCCAATCTCCAACTTATAAAATCTCCACTTCCAAAAAATCATCATTTGAGCAAAACCTTTTTTTAAATGGGGATCTCTACAAAATGTACTAAAAACTAAAAGAGGACCAGTGGAGTAATGGTACCCTAATAATGGTTTTAAAATATTAAATCTAGATTGTCTGGAAGAATTTTATATATATATATATATATATATACTATTTGTCCATTTGTATTTTTTTTTTAAAAAAAGAAAGTTTTGTTACATCATACTTTTTGTGTGTATTTAGCAATTTACCTTTTCCAAAGTGACTTAAAAATAAGGTAAAAATAAGAGCTAATATTCATGATAAACAACACCTGGTTTATTAGTCAAGGCAAGATTACTCATGGCTAATGATACATGTTGGTAATTCAGACAAAACACAGCATGTTCCACTCACCTGTCAATGGAAAGTACCATTTCCTCAAGACAGGCTTTGATTTTATTCTGTGCTTCCAGGTGAGTCATGCCCTCTGTTGACTCTCCATCTATGGCCAGGATCATGTCCCCAATGCAAAGGTCAGCCTGAGCAGCTTTACTTCCTGGGGTCACCTAAAAAGATCAAAAAAATGAGTATTATCATCATTGTCTAAAAGGAAAAATAGGCTTTTTAGTGAATACAGACAAATCACCCTTTGCTCCTTTAAAATGAAATTATGCCATTTTTTCATGCCCAAATATAAACAGAAATAAAATATTGAAATATTTTTGCACAATAACTTTGGTTTATCCCAATAAGTTCAATAAGTTATTCATCCCAGTAGTACCAGTGGTTTATATCAGCCAGAATGTATGAGGTTTGTTTTAAGAATATCTCCAACTTGATGCTGAAACCCCTTTTGTCTGTTTCTCTCATAAAGCACACATCAATATACACATTCCTATACACTTAAATAACTTTTTTTCTAGCTGATAAAAATCAGCCAATCAGATTCCACTCTGCTTTGAAAGCTGGAGCATTTAATGTGGCAGATGGCATAGGCTACTGCAGTGCCTACTTATAATGAACAGAGCATTTTCATGATTTTTTTTTTTTTGTTCTTGGTTGTTCTTGATGTGAACGGGCCTTAACCTCCTGAGACCCTGCGTGCACATACGGGGACATCACATTTTTGGTTCTGTGCAGCATAATACTTAATTCTGTGTGACTGGAACATGTTTTTCACAAACGAGGACACTTACACTGCCATCTGGTGGCGTCAGAAGAGAAAAAAAATTAACATAAATAATTTAAAGATGGCAGAGAAAACAGGTCACATGTCACGCAGCCACTCCAGACCAAAACTTCCACAAGGTAAACAATCTAATAACATTTCATTGTTGATTCTTGTTAAGTTATGCATAATAGTGTTGTATGTTTGAAACGGCATGCACATTTGACAAAATTTTGTAAAAATAAAGATTTACCAAGCTGCTAAAGTTGATGTCCCCATATGTGGACATTGGGACTAAGCTTCGTTGAAACTTGCAAAAAAAATGAAAATTTGTAGTTGCATTGAGCTTCGTGTCAGGCTCACACACTCGAGCGCGCGCACACACACACACACACTCAACGGGGCGGGGCTTCACTCACGATCGCGCATGCACACATACACACACTTGCTCACTCGCACACACACACACACACACGCGCGCACTCTCTCTCTCTCTCTCTCGCTCGCTCACTCACTCGCTATCGCTTACACACACATCACACACTCGCGATCGCGCGCACACACACACACATACGCTCTCTCTTGCTCGATATCCACCGTGGTGGAGCTCTGAAAATCAAAAAATCCCCTGAAAAAGATGGGCTGATTTTTAGAATTGCGCATCCAATGGTGCACCTCTCCTGGGCACGAATAAAGCCCATGGAGGGTTCAGGGGCAACAGTTACACAGTCTTTCACACCGGTTAAGTGTGATCCACTGTTCCCACAGATAAAAAGAACATTTCTAGTTTGGAGAAGCAGAAATTTTGGAGCATTGCAAAAAAGAAATCAAATTTTCAATTTGTTTTGGATATGTTTTTTTATGTGGATATTATATATTATTATGGATATTATATTTCATTATTATATTTATTTTGGTTTTCCATATCAATTTTCAGAAGTTATGCATGCAAGAGTAACAATGAAAAATGTTCAGGCACAATGCTCATGCAGTAAAAAAAAATAGATTTGCACTTTTTTACACAATGGTGTATTGATTGTTTTCTGTGCATACAGACAATTTTTTGTTTTTTGAAAAAGTGCTTCATGTTCAAATATAATATCTGATTATATGTCTTGCTCCCTCCTAACCCCAAAAAGCTAAGAAATCTAAAAGCACACCAAACCAAAACTCAGGTCTCAAGTAGTTAAGATAGACCCACTGTCCTTGCATGAGGACATCATTTTATGCAAAAACTACTTCCTGTACAAAAACAAATTTTAGTTATTATACTTATTAGGTCCTACTTGTCCCAAATAGCAAGAAAAATTATAAAATGCACACCAGGCAAACTCTCGGGTCTCAGGAGGTTAATTTTTCAACATAGATCGCTGACAGGAAGTGCTTTCAACATGGCAGCGCCCATGAAGGGGGGAGACCCACTCTAGAACAGAAGTTAATATAATTGTAATACTATTTATTTATTTGTAAAATATTTTAATTAACAAAAAAATATTGAGTGAAAATGAGTTGACAGGCTGCTTGTTGCAGTTGAAGGTAATACACCTTTAAAACTCGCGCGTCACAATAAGGTAACTTAAGTGTCATATTATTACCGTCTTAAGCCACGAATTCTCGTAATGTTTTGATATACCCAGCTTCAGTCTACATTTATACGAAACTGGAACAAAATATAGTTCTATTTAAAGAAACCATCTGATTTCGTGTCCAGATTTAATCCAAGTGATCTAATCTAACAGAGTAAAGTTAGAGTCTAAAGACAAGATACAGTCTCGTTCACGTGCGTTTCGGTTGGATGCTGCGGCGGCATGCAGGCGTGGCACGTTCTTGAGAAAGTTTATCCGTTTTATGAAGCATAATATTTTGGCCTAGTTGTGTCTATGAACGCCACCTTTTCTCTGTGTTAAATTATTAACAAATCCGAAATAAATATCTTACCCTCGAGATTGTAAGAGGCTGCTCGAAATCTTTCCCCCCGACCAGACGGAATCCCCACGGTCCAGGGCCTTGTAAAACAACCCGTACAGGCATTATACTTCCAACACTTAGCCTAAAAGGCTGGCGTAAAGTTATTCCTGAACTGGTGCACTGTAACTGTTGCACTATAAAGTCCGTAGTTTCGTGTAACTCTAGCGGGACAGGGCGTTCACTTTGAAGAGACGTCCGATGCCTGGGCGGAGCTTCCTTAAAAGTGAGCGAATAATGTCAGGTCTCTGTGCTGATAAGAGCTCATTTCCTATGTTTGTTTAGGGGTGGACCGTTACGTCATCTTATATTGAAGTTTACCATGTATGGAAGAGTCAAATCCTGGGATTTGGTATGCCACTCCCAATCCAGTAGAAATTCCTGCTCGCTCAAAACATAATGCTTTGCAGAATAGGGGTCACATTCTCAGCATTCCCCAAAAGTGGAGCAAGTGCAGACAAAACGGACAAAATTATGTTTTGCACAATGTTTGATTTATCAAAGGTGTGTATAGACTTCTATAAACTTTATAAACAATATAAGCACGTCCATAGAATGGGTAGGCTTAGGCACAAGTGAAGACATGCTGCATCATGATTTGTGAGCCGTTGATGGACATTTCTGCTCCTCCAGTCAGTTTTCAACATGTTTCATAAATTTTTTCAAAGGTTTGGCCATCAAAAGGTTTGCAACCAAACCTGGACACAAATACTCTTTCTACATTTAATTCATTGCATCTAGTACATTAATTTGCACAATTGCTGGCATTAGCTTATTGTTTATGAGTGCAACAAATGCAAAGATGGTTTGATTATGGGAGTCCATATCTTTACCCAATTAATGAATAAGTGTACATTGAAGTAGTCTACATGTGTTTGTATTCACTTTTTCACTTTTTTTTTTAAACTGAATTAGTAGTCCATAGGCTGATCTCTTACTTTACAATTTAAATATTCCAAGTAAAATTTAAAATGGTTGCTAAAGCGATAGGATTCTGAGTCAGGATGGTGTAATGGTCCCTGGGGACTATCTTATCTATGGTGATTTCAGTTAGGATCTCAATTAGAACACTGAACTTAATGACTTCAGATTGCATGTTTCTGTAATGTTTAACACCCTTCCTGCAGAGTTTAACCCTGCTTCGGCATACATGTAATAGGCTCTAATGGGGGATCATCTCTCAAATTCAATGCGCTTGGACCTTCTTCACATTTAGGGATGTGCAATGCATTAGGGTTAACTTTTTAACTATAAAGGTAAATGGAATACTGGTAGGCCTATATACATTTCCATAAAGAGGAGGGGAAATAGAGAAATGGATTTAATGGCAGTTAGAGTAGATGTCAAGTTGAAACTATCAGAAACCCCATCACAGATGTGTTGACAATAATGTTATATATTTTAATGCCAGACTGATAACGTACAGTGATATAAATAAATTAAATTTTTTTAATACATGGAAATATAAAAAAAAAACAAAGTTAACTATTGTAGAAATGTCACCATATTGCTGATTTTTTAGCAGCTATACTGCAATCTTTAGTGTCTCATGATCTTCAGAAATATGCTAAATTTGGTGCTTTTGGATTTATTATTATTAATGCTAAACAATTAATAGCCTACCATTGTGCTGCTTAATCATTTTGTGGAAACTGTTTTAACTGTTTTTAAATCAATTAAATTGCCTTTGCTAAATAAAAGTATAGGCCTATTAACTTTTCTTCCTTTCTTTTAAAGAATCTTACCCCAAACTTTTGAATGTCAGTGTATCATGAAGTGTATCAGTGTACCCCCCCCCCCAAAAAAAAAGATATTAATACTAATATAGACAGCTAAAACAGTTTTTAACATAATTAATAATGATGTTGAGTTCTGAAGATCATGTGACACTTAAGACTAAAATAATGGCTGCTGAAAATTCAGTTTTGCATTCACAGATTTACATTGTAAATTTGATTACAATAGAAATCAGTTAATTTAAAATGTTATAGCCTAATATTTCACAATATTGCAGTTTATTGTTTGATCAAATAAATTAAGCCTTTGTGAGATTAAGAGACTACTTTCAAAAACATTAAAAAACCTTAATGTTGCCTTGCCTTATAGACCTATTTATACAGATTTTGCAATAGCTTTGTATTCAATTGTTTTAGTAGCCTACTAATAAATCTAAATAAGTCTAAATAAGTCTATCAGTGAAAATTTTGCCCCTAAACATAAATAACAGAGGACTAGATGAAATACTTTTTACTTGATCCCTACCAGTTAAAAAGCAAATTTGTCTTTCGATTCAAAGTTGAAGGCTATACCACATTTCATACAGCCTGTTGGCGGCACCACCGATGCAATACGAGGTCGGAGTTGAATTGCATAAGATGTGATATAAACTCACGACCAACAGAGGTCATCCTCAACCCTAGTTTGCACTCAAACACACGGACAGTTTTGAAATGTCTTGTTTTCGTTTCCACTTCTTTTTTTTCCGTGATGTTGGCACAGTAAAAGACAACCAAAAACACACTGCTCGTTCACAAGTTATAAGCGCATGTGTGTTTTGCTCTTAACAATGAAAGCGTTTGAGCGCGAGATCAAAACAGAGTTCTGAAAGTTTATTTGTCTTCAAGAGTGTATCGTATATTACACGAAGAATATACAATGTTATAGTGCCTTATAAAATCATTATTTTAGTGTTTGCATCAACAGTATAAAGATAGAAAATATCTAAGTTCCCTTCTTTTTTAAATATGGTTCCTCTTTGTCAGTTAGCTCTACTGAAAAGCAGAAGTTAAGCATGTGACCTGCTGAAACTAGTATCAATACGAGTCGATGAGAAGTAGCCTAAATCGTGTGGTCAGGCCCCTGCATGGTCCATCAATACCCCTCAGTATGGTCATGACCGCAGAAAGGTGTCTTATGATGTCATTGTGTGGGACTCAGTTCACCAATGACAGGAGAAGCTCGAGAGTATATGGAAGACGTCACACAAATCGCGTGGGAGCGGGGCTATGGCTTTAAGTATACGGGACCAACGGTGACATTTCGAGCTGTTAACACCTTCTCTCTCTCAGCCACACTCCCCCACCCACGGCTGTGACTCAGTTCGGCTTGACCAACATAGAAGGTGTTTCAGTGTGGCCAGATCCAGAGGGTGATGATGGGAGCATATTGTTAAATAGAAAAAGAATAGACCGCTGAATATTGGAAGCATTTAATACAAGGCTTAGGATATTGATGTTATTACATAGCCTAAATACATGTTAAGTAAAATGTCATTAAACTGAAATCGAAATTACAATTTTTTCCATAATATAGTTTGTATAATATTAAATTAAATTATCCTTATTCAACAGGTTTTGATGATTATTAACACTAGAATACTTTTTAGTGAACCATTGTTTTTTTTTTTCTTATTAAACTAATGGACTCTTAAGATTAAAGTTGTATAGGCCTACTTTTAAGTCAACAAATAAATAAATGCTCATTAAAATTTTATTGAATCTGAAATGATCATGTTAATGTGCAAACTTTGTTTTGTTGATTAATAACGTGATGTAGATTACAAAAATATGTTTTTTATTAAATCATTATTTTATCTTAATAAACTGTTTAATTATATTGTAAAATGTTACGTTTTACAGTGTAATCTTTGAATATATGCTGCTTTTGGTCTGCCAAACTATTGCTCTCACAAAAGCACACGTTTATGTCAGGTGTGTAAGGTATGTAGGAATCTGTACAATGTGTTTTGTTATTTATTCAGAGTGTGTATAACAGCAAGTGTGGAGATATGGCATTAAGTGAAGATGGATGGAATTTAAGAAATGAATGGTGATAAGTTCAGGATCAAATTCAGCTTAGATCTGAGGCAGATAATTTGCAGTCACACAGTGTTAATGCAGTTCTCTCTGAAGGGTTATAGGGATTTTCCCTCTGTGCTGAAATCTGAGATTCACTGCACATGAGGTAAGCATTTCAGTCAAACACACAAGCAATATGTAATTAGACAGACCTTCAGGACACTTACACATGCCTCTTTTTCTCCAAGCAAAGCTGTTTAATGAGTACCCTTGAATTTGTAGATAGGTTTTCTTGGTAGGGAATCTGAATCGATACATTGCTTGGTGTCATTTATTAGTGATTTAGATCAGAATAGTTTGAAAGAGGCATTTTTTTTTTACTACGAGTCCATCTTTTTTATTTTTAGGGGGGAAATTATATTATCAATCCTTTTTTTTATCTTTACAGAAATAAATCACTGTCTCGTCGGCGCCAGACAGCAAACTTTGGCACTCAAGCTTTCATTCAATCATCATTCATAAACATACATTATTAGACCGTAATGTGATATTTCCTTCAGAACTTCCTCATTCTCCTGGTTAGAGCAGCACACAAGAGAAGGCAGCTCTGTGAGGCGTGTCATCCATTTCCCATCATGCAATGATATGTGTGTGTGCGTGTGTGCGTGTAGGTGACGGAGGACGGGGGCGGAGCTTGACTGGAACTGAGAAGTTTGGCTCTGTTGTGTTTTGCCCTGGCTTTGTTCCAGGGCAGAAATGCTCTGACCGAACACGCATGATTCTAAGGTAGGCTTATACTAATGACAAATAACTTTGGAATCCTTTTTTTTTTTTTTTTTTACCCCAGTTCAGTGTTGAATGCACATAACAAGATAATGATATTGTTGTGCTAAATGTTTATATGCTCTGGCCAGGTGCCAGAAAACAAAAACAAAAGCACTTAGATATGCCATATACTGGAAAATAAGTAGGAGTATATTAGGATTATACATCAACTGCATCACTGTGGTCACTTCAACCCAATTTCTTGTTTTTGATCGACATGCTTTGCAAATATGAGTTGATGTTAGTGTTGGTTATTATTTTCATCTTCTTCATTAGTTCCTGGAAGGTAGAGCAAACAAACGTCACTTATTTAATTCACTGACATCTGCTCAAGCATTTCCCCTCAGATCTGTGCGATTATGACCTCATGGTGGTAGTTATGACAATCAGGTTTTTGATATGATCAATTGATACATTAACTTTTGCCCTAATTAACATGCATAACAGAAAACATTTTCTAATGATGACTTATTAAAATCCTACCAAAATGCTTGTGCTTCCCCTGCTTGTTTCTGTTTAGGAGCTGCATTGTGGTTTGCTACGGATAGACAGACAGGAAGCCACAAATTTAAACGGCATTATCTTCCAGATAAGACCATATGATGAGACTGTCTTCAAGTGTGTCCTGTATTCACAGGTGTTGACGTCTCTATGAGGAAAGCAGCTCTTGTTGTCTGGTTCATACTGGCTATAAACTGCCACTGTTGCCTTGGCTTTTGGCTTGCTTAGTTGGGGGACATTTAAAATTCAACAATATTATTGATCTGCCTTACTTAAGGTGGACGTTGACGCAATTTTCTTCTAGAAACAAACTTTGTTGTATTATTTTCATGTTATCACTGTGAAGCTGCTTTGATACAATCTGTATTGTAAAAATCGCTATAAAGGTGACTTGACTAAACCACATAATTTCAAGAAATGTTGTGAACATTATTGGAATATAGAATACGATTATTATAAACTCCATATATTGACGATTTTAAAGTACATTTAAAATAGAAAATAGTTCTTTTAAATACTAATTCACCTTTGGCTAAGCCACGCCCTAGAATGTAGATTGACCAATCACAGCGCAGCCAAGAACGAGCTCCCACACTGACTCCTCCGACACTTTTTCGCACTCGCAGCGCTCCATTGACTTTCAACCTTTCAAACAAAGCCGTGTCATATTTTTGGTTTCGGCAGGCTATTACCGTCGTAGTTTTATCAAACATATGGTTAAACGTTGTGCCTCGGCTCGGGCATTTGTAACACAGATACGCGTTTCCCAGAGAGGTTGGAGGGGGGGTGTCCGTTTTTTCCCCTTCCCAAAACCGAAGTCAAATCCTGACAAGTGTCGTCTTTGTAACGTTATTAAACTGTGTGGACGTCCTCAGTCAGCTAAACCCCGCAAAGATCAAGAAGCACATCTTTTTTTTACTTCTAACCTTACTGTGAAGTTATACTAGTTAGTTACACCGTTTTATAATGTTTTAGGTTATGATTTCGGTTCTCATACCGGTTGTTGATACGCTAGCACACGCTGCTAATAACACAACGTTATACTCGTGTAGTCTGTTTGCTTTGTAATAACGATTATAGAAGTGAATAGAGACCTACCCAGCTTTGCATGAACAGTGTTGCTCCCTGATATTGTTAGTCCCAGCCTCCGTCTCGATTAGTAGGATATGCGGTGATTATTTTTTTGACTGTGACCGGTAACGTTATGCTTCGCCTGTAGCCTATGTCTTGAATATAGCCTTCGAACGCATATTGCAGCCCGTTTTGCCTACTTCTATCGGACACTTTATTTGCTGCTTTATAAAAGTTTGATAACATTTCAGCAGGATGAGCTGTTACAGCAGGGCCATGCAGAGCGCAGATAAGTTTGACGGATGTAGCAAACTAAGGGGGCGGGGCTTAGCCAAAGGTGATTTAGTATGATTGATTTTTCTCTATTTTTGAGCATAAGAAACCTTTCAGAAACCAAAACCAACCCCAAAATTTTGAATGGAAATCAGGTCGTGTGGTGGTGGTCATTTTTGAATTTTACCCCTGTAGCTCATTTCTAATTTATTATCAATTAAGTAATTGTTTAACTGATGTTCAGGTTACGGTTACAAATCATGCCCTGTATATGCAATACCAATATCCCTGTATATATGCAAAATTATTTTGTAAGCCTACAGAACTGAAATGACAAAAAAGAGAAACAAAAAGTAAAAGAGTATATTTCCAAATTGTGGAAAAAACTCAAAAATCCCCATGTTTCAAAATCAATGGAGTAACTCACCAGCATAATGTGTTTCTATTAGGGATGCACTGCTGTGAACATTTTGGCTGATAACCAATTATTCTTTTTAATTGAACCCAATGACACAATGACTGCTTTATTGGTTTTTATATTCTCGTTGTTAGAAGCTTATGTCAGTTGCATCACCACTGCATGCCACAGAGCTCTTCATTTAGAAAGATTCAGAATTCAGATTGAGAAATACGAAAGCTGGACTGGATATATTCGTATCTAAAGGCCCCTCTAAGAAAACAAATATGTAGACCCAAATTAGAGAGTTTATTATTTTATTTACCTGAACTTTGGAATGTAAAACAGAAACATATGCAATTAAATGACCAGTATGAATGAAAACAAACATGTGTCTTCTCCATTTAACATTAATGTAGCCACAATTCAGTTCAGAATGTAGCAAATACATAAACAAAATCAACGTTCAGTAGTATAAACTTCAATTTTATAAAAATACAAAAATTCACCCACAGAAAATGTGATGTAAAAGCAAATTTCACAATTAGCACAAGTGTATGATGATGAATAAAGTAAAAACAGAACGAGACATTGGTAGTAGTTTTCTAAAGCCATAATATCACTTTCGAGTTACCAATGAAAGACCTTGTTTTAACAATTTGAGAACCTTGGATAAGAAGCATGTAAAATGACATAGCCATTACCCAGGGAGAATTCCCTGCTAGTTCCCACGTTAAGGAACACAATTACCCTGCCATACTTAAGCGTTTGTGGACAAAATGGTCCCAAACTTTTCCAATATGACCATCAGACTGTTATACATAAATGTTTCATAAAATCTCACTGCTTTACCAAATTGGCAGAAGCATCTTACAGTATTTCCAGGACAACGAACTCTTCTGATCTTCAGAAAAATACATTCAGTGAACACGAATCAGAGCCTTTGTTTAAAAAACAAAATCATGAACACGTCGAAGACTTATGGAATTCAAAGCTATTCTGGGAAGTACGGCCAGGTGAAAGATTCAAGATGGCTCTCCTGCCCCATGCCGCTGGAAGGGTACGGTATCTGCGAGACCATCTGATTGGGCGCACTGGCCTCCATCTGTCTCATGGTCTCCAGATTACTTCCATTGGGGTTGGGGCAGTTCAGGAGGGCGGTGAAGGACGGCACACAGTCTGAAGACGAGGTGCAGGCGGGCCCAAGCGCAGCCATGTTGCTCGGCCCTTGAGTTTCCTGTTTCAAGTTGTGGTTGACCATGAGATTTTGAAAGAACTCTTCGTCTATGCTGCTTGCATACGAGTACCCCGTTCCCAGTGACCCGCTGGTGCCTGTTGCTCCGTTCTGTGTGCTTTGAGGCTGTTGGGAGCCATAGTTAAACCAGGAATGGGCTCCTTCCAGTCCTTGTCTTTGAGATGGCTGCGGGGATTGCTGGACCTGCTGGTTTGGTTGGTCCTGTCGAGGCTGACTGCTGGTTGGGCCATTGGGTTGAAGAAACTCCAGATCCGAAGAGGTCAGCAAGGGGAGGCTGTTTCCACTTTCTCCTGTGGTCGGCATGCTGGGACTTGGGTTGACCTGCTGTAGGCCCACCCCATTACTAGCTCCGTTGTTGTTGATTTGACTGGGCCACCCTTGACTTAGGGTTCCTTGAGCTGGGGTTTCCGATAGGGGTGGCATCATGGGGCAGGACGAAGGGGCTTTGTTATAATAGACTGACTGATTTGTGCGCACCCCATGGATGGAAGGACGAAAATAATTTGAAGGCTCTGTGAAAAGAGTATGTGTTAAATAATTATTGTGACTGTAAAAAGAAAATGTATTATGTATTATGGAAAGTGACATAAGTCTTACCGATTTTGATTCTCTGATTGATTTGGTTGGATGAAGGCACAGCTTTTGGTCTGTTCATGAAGCTCATGGCTCCTTGAGAGAAGCTAGTGAAGGATTTCATCTGGCTTTCAATTTTACGTTTCTTCTCTTGACAGCCATATGGATCTGAAAAAAATAAAAAGATGCTCATTTCTGTCTCTAAAATCGACCAACGCAATCATTTTCTGCAATCAACATGCAGGAAAAAATGGTATCATGACCTATTTATGACAAAGCAAGGTTAGGGGCAACTTCTCAAAAATTGTATTTGTCAATCCATAATTCATGTTAAAACAGAATTTAAAAATATTTTCCCATCTCTTTATCAGATACTCTTATTTTGTCATTGACCCACTTGTAACAACAAAGAAGATGTGGGCCAAAATCAAACAATCCATGATGTGGGTACCATGTATTTACCTTTGTCGTCGGGCAGGAATCGGAACTCCATGGGCTCACTGACCTCCTGGTCTGTAGGGCGACGCAGCTGCATGCGCACTGTGACCGGGGCTGTGATGGTGGTGTCACAGTAGGCGGGTGTCTTGAACACTATGGCCACTTGCCTGTGCACGTCTGCCTGAGAGAAAGCGCCTTTGGCCTCCCAGTTCTGAGTGAAGAACCTCACCTCAATGTCATCTAGAATGAGGTGATGTTATGGTGTGAGAAAGGGGTTAAATGAAAGAATGGGATAAAATAACTGGCGATGGAAATGGAAAGATGATTTTCAATAAAATAAAAGGACGATGAAGAGAAAAGGACATATAAGACTGTTTGAATGAATGACTAAAATACCTAAATAAATTTCAGCTTTCAAATTTCTTTAATAAAGGTGCTGTGAAGGGAATATAATGTACAAAATGTAAATATCTGCAAATCTCACTAGCCAAAACCGGAAAAAGGTGGGTGTCCCTAGACTTTTTTTTTTTTTTTGCAATTCAGAAGAGGACTTGTCAATCATTCTGACTGTTTGGGTTTGCTGTGCAATTTAAGGGATAAGGGGTGTTCTGATTCTAGTTGGCAAAACAGCTGAAAAAAAGCACCTTGAGGTGTTTTAAAAGATTTAAAACAGTCCCGTACCTTTCTGCACTTTATCGCAGAGGAGGAAAATCTCATCACCTCCCTTCACACTGCCACTGTTCTTGTTGACCCGGCAGATTCGCAGTTCGGCCGTGTTCGGGGCCCCTGAAAAAAGAACAGGGCACCGAGATTGAAGATTCGAAAACCAAGTATAACAATCTTGAAACAGACATGCACTTATATTAGCAGTAGGAAACAATCTCTCATATTCTTTGACTTTATCTGAGTGTCTGCAGGCACAGCCACACTTGCAAACATTATGTGCAGAGACTAAAAAAAGCAGTCAAACCTGTCATGATTTAGACAGTGAGGGCGAGGTAGTTTATTGCTTCCTCTTTTCTGTGGCTAAATTTATATTTATGGTTAGATTTAACGGCTGACTTATTAGTACTGGCTGCAAATATATCATATAAGTCAAACATACCTACATGTGCTTTTTTTGAAACAGCTTCATGTTTTCAAGCTCGCTTTTCTAAAAATCCGTCTACTTGACTGCATTGTCATTAGAACAACATGACAGCCTTCAGCCTGAAAAGAATCAGCCTTTGCAAGCAGATGAAAGAATGTTAACCCATTAACCAAGAGCTTTTTTTTATCTGCTCTGACTTATTTAGAATCGCACAACCGCACAAAGACACTCTGCAAGCACTGCTGTTTTGCTCACCCTGTACACAACTATCACGTGAGGAAGTGTTGAAATGGACCGTGCTCACTTCCTGCAGAGGGGGATGTGGCCACTGACAGCTCTCTGTCACCTTAGCAATGCATTCCCACAGCTATTTCTTTCATGCATGTGACAGTAACATCATGTCGAACAGTTAGTCAAAACTGTTTTGACAAACCACTTTCTTTTAAATCTAAAATATAGCCAATATAGCAGATACTGAAAACCAATACCTGTATTAAATGCAAAAGTGTTGTTTTCTCTGTACAAAATGTAATTAGTAATTTCCAAAGCTTCAAAATAGACCCATTTGTTTTTTAATTATAATGTTAAATTATTGTTCTATAATTAATCTAATGTCCATACTTTAAAATTAAATCAAACTCCACAAAAACTTTTAGCTTATAATTAGGGCTGTGAAACGATTAATCGCGATTAATTGCATCCAAAAATAAAAGTTTGTGCTTACATAATATATGTGTGTGTAGTGTGTATAATTATTTCGTGTATATATATATATACACACACATGCATGTATTTAAAAAATATTTGTTATTAATATATCAAAATATTCATGTTTATGTATAATATTAATTTTGGTTTATACATGCAAATACTTCTTAAATATATACATTATACTTATAATAAATGTCACATATAGCTTAAAGTGCAGTGACATTTAAATTAAGAAAAAAAACTATCATTATTTTATTACAGTAAAAAAATACTGTAATCTTGTTACTTATTTATTTAAATCAACAAATTAAAAACTAAATATATACATAAAATATTCAAATTAAATAGCTTTTCTCATACACATTTCCTAAGAACGCTGTTTTTTGTCACATCGTTTTAAAAACATATGTAAATAAATTATAAAATAATAATGAAAGTAAAATATGTTCAGAAAACGATCATCAGAAAACGAAAACCTCATTCTTCTCAATCCATCATTGTTATAGAAATCGAAATCAAAATTTCATGATCAACTTCCTCATCCATTTTGAAGTGTAATTCTGTGTGACTAGTAGCATCAAACAGAACTCAGGTCTTCCACTGAACACAAAACAGGTTTCCCCGCCCAAAATTCACATCACTGGCTGAGTCAAAGTTATGTTGTCAAACAAACAGTTTCAAAGTTTGTTGCCAAGCAGAAATGACACTTCACATTTAATGCAGTATGCTTCTTATTTGTGCCAACTCACTGTTGTCATAGATGGGGTTGGAGACGATGGGAGGCAGCATGGTGTTATACATCCCGGTCTCATCTTGCAGGTAAATTTGGAAGCATAGACGCACCACGTTCAGATCATACTCCTCAGTCTGTAGCAGCAGTTCCCGGCCAACTGTGGACACAAAACCAACGTTCAACAAGTGCAAAACATACATATCAACACATTAATCATAAATGTAATTGGTGTCAAAACTGAACAGGAGATATTCAGAGAGTCATGTGAAAGAAACAAAGGAGCGGAAGAGGGAGAAGAAAACGAAACGAAAATCAAGTCGGTTTGTTTAGAACTAGCTGACACACTTGTGATGACACTTCTCCATGATAATAAAGCAATCTTACCATAGTCCTGATTACCGAAAACTTTAATGCAACAAAATAAATAGTAGTTTATTTACATTTATTTATATAATTATTATTAATTATTTATAATTAATATAATTATATTATAAATAATTATTATGATTTATGTATATAATTATTATAATTATTTATATAATTATTATGAATCAGTTTGAAGCTTTAAATAAACTAAATAATATGACAGTGTGTAATCATTTTTACAATATTTTGTAGTAATCTGTGCAAAATACATACATATTTATAATAACCCATGCACCAGGAGAGACAAAACACTGAGTAGCCACTATTTAGTCTATTAAAAAAGCATAATATTTAATTTGAACATAGCAAAGTTGATTTATTAATGTTGTTTTTTGCAATTGCCTTTAGTTCGATGATTTAAATAAATGAAAAAAAATATAACAGTATTTGTTTTGGTAAGTTATAGTAATTTAAACAAAATATATACATATTTATAATAAAAAATAAGTAATTTATATAGTAATTTTAGATAAGTGTCTTATCTTCCGCACCCACTCTGAGGTGACAATCTGAAAATATATTGTGTATTCTATATACCAAAAACAGAGCCTCTATATTTAGTTGCATCCACTTCGGACCACCCGCAAAGCATCTTAATATAACGCGTAAAAAGAAAAGCAAGCGGCATAGTGCTCTTGCCGTGTCTACGCAGCAGCATCACCACCAGAAATGCCACTGACACATCACCCTCTAAGCACACAACCACCCACACGAGTGCATGTGTAGACATTTCTCTGTGTGCATCTCCACTCTCCACCCACTCTCCACTCTCAGGAGTCTGTCTCTTTTCACCCCGCCCACAGCCGTGACGAGCTTTGAGCGGCTCTGAGGTCACAGCAGGTGGAAACATCGCGGCGGGTTAGAAGTATTAGTGTTATAAGCGGGTTAGCTCTGGCGGCAGAGTATCTGTGACGACTATGTAGTGAGGGGGACGACCCCCTGACGTGAAGAGACACCTCTGTGCACACCACAGGCCCAGAAATGGGAAAGAAAGATGGAAGACGAGCAAGTGAGGAGCACGGCAGACAGATGTACAACAGACAAGATGTGCAGTAGTGAAGGAACAGAGATAAAGTGGGAGGAGATGAGTGGGTGCGGAAGATAGCGAGAGGTGGAGTGTGAGAAAGGCAACTGCGAGCAGTGGTGTGGTCATGTTTATTTGCGTACATATGTGCGCCTCTGGTTCTGCGTTCAGTGGAGTCAGAGAGCAAGAGGAACGAGTGGACAGCAGATGCAGGTGGGGGATGATTTAGGTTAGCGTGGGCTGGTGGAAGGCGAAGCAGAGGGTGAGAGCTGGAGAGAGAGAGAGATTCTCCGTTCTGTGGGTATAACACCAATCCCAAGCCTGACACTCATCTCTTGCCACCTGTGCCCACCGTCTGCGACATCTAACACCATATTGAGCAGAACGCCTACTCAGCAACCATCACGGCAAAATCTGCTATGGGCAACCTCACTTTTTTTTTTCCGCAACATGACGAATGCCTACTAATTTAACTAATTGTTGATATTGAAGTCACATATTACCAACCAAATAAGAGAATTGTAAGCAAACGTCGAAATGTTCAAATGCACATATTGATGCAGAACGCTCAGACCAAACGACAGAATAAATAAGGTTAATAACGTGAACATGTAGCGCTCTGGACTCAATGGCAAATATGTTTGGATGTATATTATATGATATTATATTATATTTATATTTTGTCTGAATAAGACTGGTAAGGTATAAATGGAAGGATAATTATTGGTAACACTTTACAATACGGGTGCACTTATATATATTAATTCATACTTAACTAATGCACAGATAACCATGAGTTAATATATAACTCATGAAGAACTAAACCATTAATTAATAGAGTCTATATGATCAATAGATTAAGTAATACATGAATTGCTATTAATTCAGTGTGTCAATGTGTCTTAATTCCTTAATAACATATTTTTTTATTAACTAATAGTATAAATTAATGTGTTAATTACCACAATTAGTCAAAGCTATACACTTCAACTTCCAGGTGTCTGCTTTAATTAATCATTAGCTAATGATCTGCAAAGGTATCATTATGACTTTACTTGTTGGGGCACATCATTATTAACTATTCATTTAGTAATTGTAGTAATTTGCACATGAATTTGCACTAACAATGAAGTAATTAATCATGTATTAATGCATATTAGTGTACCTGTTATATTATCTGGAAGTTGAAATACAAGGCTTTGGCTCATTCTGGTAATTATCATATTAATTAACACTATTAGTTAAAAAAATGAGTTATTATGAAATTAATCCACAATTTATGAAAAAAATCCACCAACAACATATTTAATTAATAACAATTCATGTGTGAACTAATACATTAACCCTACAGGCTCTTAATTAGTTCTTAATGTGGTAATCATTAATGAATAGCTTACATAATCATTAGTTACACATTATTATCTGTGCATTAGTTATTAGTGCACCCGTATTGTAAAGTGTTACCGAAATATTTATATCATATATAATAATATTTTCTTGATTTTTAGTACATTTGAAAATATCATACAAGTCATTAAAGACTATAAGGAAATATTATATTTTAAAAAATGATTTTAAGTCCAATGTGAATAAATTATTTCCTGTTACATTTTCAAAGTTGTAAAGAAAACAGATTATTTAAGTATGTTTTACAAGAAAATACTAGTCTTTCGACTTCAAAATGTCACTGTTAAATTCAATGTGTTACTTGCAGTTTCTCTGTGATTGTTTTGAAATTTACTAGCAATTTCTGAGTGAAAACTTTTTCAAATGAAATCATTCACCAAATGATTTTCAGTGTGTGAGTTTTTAAGCAGAAAATGAAACAATAACATCATTAATCTCTATTACTGCTATGACAATTCATCATCACCTACACTTTCATATTGTGACAGCCCCAATCGCAAAATGAATACTTCACCGCAAAAACTGTCTATTACCTACTCAATAATAGAAATGAATGACAATATATACTGTATATGCATGCGTCATCATTGAAATCATAGTGGGATAACGTCAGTGCAAATGAGGTCATCGCTATAGCAGGTCATCCCTTCAACACAAGACCAAACTTCAAACGTAATATCAAAACTGATCTCACTACGACTGCCACCGTGACTAATCAACATCAATTCAGGGGACTGTCAATGTTAAACAGCCAAAGAAGGAGATCTTTATATGGTTGTCACAGCAGAAGTGAGAGCAAACAGCCCGTCACCACAGAGAGCAGCGGAACATGCATGCGGAAGCAAACACAGATCCGAACTCACAATCTGATATTCCCTAATGTGACGACCTGTTGCAAAAACACTTTCCGAATTTCTCAAATATTGCTTGGGTGGACAGAGGAATTAAACTACATATTTTTAATATATTCTATATAAAAGAATGTCATCATAACCTCATTTCAAAGGACAAACAAACCAACCAAGTCAAATGAACATTGCGCATTTCCAACAGAAACTCTTTAGGTCAACTAATATGTACTTCCAGGGGTTTTGGGGGCTCTGAACCCTTGAAGGGGAACTTTATAGATTTAATTCAAACGTTTCAGAAACAAAAAAAGCTACAATACAATGGTGCCAAAGGAAATTACCAAGAGAAGTTGCTTTAAATATTTTGACCCTGTAATAATTTCCTCCCACACAAAAGTTTGCATGGAATTCCTGAAGTATTTGGCTGTTTGCATACTTGAGCCAGAGTAATTCAAAGTTATCTGTTACACAAAAACGTATAGTTTACAGTTCCTCTTGACATTCCTCCCTATCTGAATAAGTTCCCCCTGATCATATGTCACTCAATACCGCAGCCAGCTTTGCAACATCTTCACTAAATAAAGAGAAGTGATTCTTTTTCTACTCTACCTGCATTGTCAGATGCTAGTTTGTGTCATACAATATTGAAGGAAGGAAAGAGAGAAATGTGTGAGGATTTGTGTTTTTAACAGCGTGATGTTGTTGACCATCACCTAAACACTGTTTGTCAAAGAAACAGAGTCAGTAGACTTTTTTACATTAAAAGAGTGAATAGAAGGCCCAGATGGAATCTGCATTTGTTTTTTTTTTTATGAATTTCCCCCAATTCAGGGAAAATTTGCAGAATTTTCTGCACATGCAGACTCTATTTGGGCCTGGTGAGAAAACATGGTGTTGGATCTCACCACCGAAGGGGTTGATTCCTCGTGTAACTCTCTGCATTATGGCATCCCTCACTTCTCTTCTCCGCACGCACTGGATGCCCAGGTTCTGGAAACTAGGAAAACACAATAAACCATCTGTTAAACTGTGTAGTCTGATTTTCAGTGCCCAGATTTGTAGTTAAATGTATTGTCCATCTTGAACTCTGATCCCAAAGACTAAAGCTTACAGGAAGAGTGAGGTTAGAACTAACCAAACTGACATACTATTTAAAATTGAGGGCAGACTGGAGCTCCAAGGCTCTCATTTTCATACTGGGGGAATCCCCTGCATGGCTCCCTACTCTGAAACAACATGCTTCTTTAAAAAAAAATAAAAAGAAGAAGAATGGACAGCCCTTCGGAAGAGAAATGCGGTAGTGTGTGGGCTGGAGTAATACGGAAAGCACATTGGAATGGCTTTGATGTGGGACACAGAGATGTTTCATTTAATTAAGAGGAAAATAGTAACAGGACCAAACAAGATTAGAGCAAAGCATGCAGATAATATTAAATAGATCTGTCAAAACGAAATTAATCGCGATTAATTGCATCTGACATACAAGGTTGTCTTTATATAGGTTGTCTGTGTATATAGATATAAACACATATTATGCATATATATGTGAGTATAAACACAAACTTGTATGTTAGATGCGATTAATCACGATTAATCGATTTGACAGCACTCATCAAAATTATTTAGGCATTTTTACATTAAAAAGCGTCAACTTACGCGATGACCCTACGTTCAGGTCCAAACTCTGCCTCGTAATAACCATCCTTACAGTCCTTACCCACTAGGTCATGGGGATGGGGTTTATATGGTTCGTTTTTGGTTACCAGCGTAACACGTACTTTTCCTTTCCCGCTGACATTTAGTATCTAATGAAAAATGATAGACACAATTTATAAAATTTAAGTTTAATTATACAGTGAATTTATTCTTCAGTGGTGTAAGCCTTTAAAAAACAGTACCTGAATGCTTGGGTAGGTTCTGTTATTGTCAGAGCTTCTTTCTCCCGGTATGCTGCCCGCTGATCGACCCTCACATTTGTACCTGAAGCGCATGCCTCTCTGTTTTGGCTGCTCGAAGATCTGAGCACAGGGCTCTCCCACTGCACAGAAACCAGCAAAATGACATCGGTCAGTCTCAGAGATCTGAATATCATTCATTTAAATATTCAAAAATGATTTTACAGACTAAAAGCATGTTCAAAATTTGAATTAGTTCTGTGGCACCGGCCCAGCAGGTATATCTAGGCTACTGTTTATTAAAATGACAACATTGAAGATGTATGAGAACATGACAAAGGGTTCAAAACACCTGCAGAAGCAACATCTTGCGTCTTTCACAGAACCTGACCATAATCTGACCACAAACAACGCAGTCTGCTGGTAAATAATTTCCCGCTCACTGCACCTGTCAGCACAGACTCTTTACAAGCCCTTCCAGGTGCTATTATGCCAGTAAACATATATACGAATCATAACTTTGTCAGACACCTGCACACACAGCTGGATTTTCCATGCAATATAGATTTGGTTGTTTCACTTGCTTCTGACACAACACAAATAGGTGAGCTAATTTGCATAGGCATTCTTACACTGTGAGATATAAGAAAATAAGCAGGGAAGATATCAAATCTATGGTTATTATTATGGATGAAAAAGATCCAGTGATATAGTGTAGTGAGCAGATGTCACTCACTACTGCCTGCTCAAGAGATTTGTCACATACAGGAAGTCAAATCTTTATCACAAAAGAGGAAGTAATGCAAGGAAATCTGAACATTACAGGCCAACTGGGTGACGTTTGAACATATTTGATGAGTGATTATTCAGAGTTTATGGTCCACCATAAAAGTTAACTCTATTTGTAACTAGTAGGCTAATGATAATGTGTTTCACACTTGGCATATGTAGATGTTTATATGTAGGCTACTTACTTAGATTGGGATCCCTGTGCATTGAGAGGGGATGCACTATACAAGAAAGCATGGATAGAAGATCATAAATCAATATAGAAAATCAGCAAAATATATATTACAATGCATGTTATAAGAATGAACAACTGTTCAAATGAGAATAAGAGAGTTGAAGAGCTTTTAAAAGTTCCCCATTTTTTTATTTCCTGGTGTTACTTCGTCCCTCCTATATTCATGTACTGATAACTCATTTGATTTGTTTAGTTTACATGAGATTTATCTTAAGTTTAGAAGACTTAACTTTTCAGGTAATGAGAATCTTCTTTCGCAAGAGCTTTATGTGATTGTACTTGCACAAATTAAAACTGCTTATCATTCCATATAATATATAAAACTACAAGCCTGTATGTTTTCTGAAATAGAGTTTTGATTAAAAAAACATGGATCATGTTACATTGATTACAAATTACATTGTGAAGATTTACCAACTCAAGACAACAGAAGAAAACAGTCATTTTAATTAAGACGGATTCTATATAATACAATTATGAGTTCGCAGATTATGTATCTTTATTTTACATGAAAAACTCGACTGTTCCGATTCGACTATCACACAGATATAGACTGTTAGCATAATTGGATTAAATCTCAAAGAGCAAGGAAGGGGAAATAAAAAAGATTAACTTAATGGTACTCACCATTCATATTATGCGAACACCCTTGACGTAGGTTTGCCTTATGTCCGAGCTCTAATGTGCTGAACAGATATACAGTAACACTTCAACACAGAAGAGTACTGACTGGGAATTCCCCACTATATACAATACGCCCGCCCACAGAACACACACAAACACACGCCCCTCTATGGCAAGCTGGTTTAACATTTGTATAGGCCTATTTTTTGACTACTAGTAATAATTTTCAATTTCACTAACTATTTATTAGATGCTATTATGTATTCCTTTGCTATCACTCACTATTTCAATGGCAACAAGTAATTGTTCCATTGTTACTTGAAACAAATATCACATTTTGCCTTTAAATTGTGTGTATTCTGTATTGTAGCCTATATCTTCTGCTGACAGGCCATTAATTGCAGTTTTACTAATAACTATTTATTATTTATGAATATTTAATTATACATTTAAGTACAGAGTAGGCCTAATTTTAATAAACAACATGTAATAAGGTTAGTTACATATAATTATGCATAATTTACTGTTATTACTGCAGCAAGTAGGCTACATGTGACATAAATAGGACACTGTTAAAATAAAGTGTTACCCTATTTAAAAACAGTTTTCCTACTCATTGATAAAGCACTAGTTTTTATTTATCAGACATTTATTAATTAACTTTGTTCTGCAGACGAAGAAAAAAACATGAATGACTGTGGCATTGCTAAAAATAATATTAGCATTCTTTGATATTAATCAACAGAAACAATAAAATATAGAAAAATAACTGCATATTTGTTTCGAATACACCTGATTGAACCAAATAGTGTAGATAAAGCAAAATTCAGAAACAGGTGCAATGAATAAAACGAAACAAACAAACAAACAAACACAAAACTTTTACATAAATTAATTTCTATACAATTCAATAACATAAAATTGGGTGTTCTTGGGTGACTTTTGTGTTGACAGCTCAACTGTCTCCGAGTCTGCAATTTATATTGTTATTTTCAAATATTATCTTATTAGCACAAACTCTTATTATTCATAGAAAGCGAATTAACATTCTTTTATTTTGCTCTGGAACCTGACTAAACGGAAAAATATTTTTGCTAAGAACGAACCGAAATTAAAAAGTGGGAAATATTCCCAGGGCACATCACATACTCTCTTGTACTTATTTTGAATAAGCAAATACTTTTTTTTAACTGCTAAAAAAAGTATGTTCTAGTATATAAATGTGTGTAGTATAAATGTATAATGGAAGTACATACAGTAAACCATGTTGTCATTGTCATGTGACCTACAAGCATTAAGTTTGTGTTGCTTCACTGCCATTCACAAATCTGTGGCCTCATGGGAGTGTAAAGTATCCATTATGTGCACACTTCAGTATCTTGGTGGAAATAGGTCATCAACGTGACTTTTGCCTACTCTTTTTTTGAGTACAGTGAACTCGGATATATACTTTAGTCAAAAACTGTATTTTATATAATAGGGAAGTACATGATTTCAGGTGCAGCGCTTGTCTAGTCCTGCCATTACTTCCGTAATGTAGCTCACCCTATATTTGCATAATGCCGCCTGTTGGTAATTTGGCTTGCCCTCAAAAAAAAGTAGTTTTAAGGGCATAAAAGTTTATCACTTTATCGAGGAACTATTTTTCATTACATGTACTTCCAAAGACTAGACTAGACTATTGGGATGGTGAGAAAGAAAGAATGAATAGTGACAACTGAAATAATTGCTATTGGACTACATATTAAATAGAAAAGTATTAGCAAAGTATTGCTAATTGCTAAAGTATTGGTTTTATTTTCCTCTAAACCACTAGATGGCACAAAAACTTGCTTTAGCACTTTCCAAAACATCATTTGCATGTGGAAATTTGGCTGATATTAGAACAATCACGGGCAGCAGTGCAAAGTTGATTCTGTGTTAATTTTATTCGATGTTTTTAAAATGTTGAAGATTTAGAATCACTAAAATTATTGAATTTATTTTGAGACAAAAGACTTCTAAATGATTTTCAGATCTGTTCAAGCTAATTAAAGCAGCAGTTTTTTTTTTAAAAGAGGAAGAATATGTACCATAAAAGGCTCAATTATTAACATGATAATAAATAGCTGGCTGACTTTTCCATTTGTTGACTTTACATGGTTAGATTCAGCTGGTAAATATCATATATTAAGTTGGGTGTTTATTATGAAACCATATTTAAATATCTGATATTAATAACATCTTGTAACAAAATATGATTCAATGTCACTACTGTAAATCTATATTAAATTATGTAATGTCATTGAATGCTTTCAGAACCTTTATGGTTTAAAATAATTGTGTTTATGCATTTTTAAATGAACATTTTAATGACAGTATATTTATTGAACAAAAATTATTTTATCAAAATAAACAGAAAATAGTGTAAACTTCCCTAAAGTGATTATTTTAAACAAGTATTAAATTAAACAAAACATTTTAGCTGCAGCAGCCTATGTATTTGTATAAATAATGTGTGATTTCTTTTAATTTTGTGATTCAAGTCTGTTGCTCTATAAATGTTCAATGACATTTTTTTTTTATTTCCCTGCAAACATGCACTATGGGAATAGTAAAAAGCACTTTTTTCCCTTAAGGTGTGCCTATTGCCCCGTTGTTGATATGGCTTGCCATATTATTCAACGTCTGCGCATCCAATCCAACGAGGGAAGTGCATAGTGCGCAGTCAAATTCAAATTAGACAGAAATAAAATGGGAAATGTTAAGGTAACTTGAAATAATTCATGTTTTTATTTTTCCTTGTTTGAAAAAGAAAGTATACTTTTTTTAAAATTCCACGAAAATTTTAATTTCATATTACGAATTTCACTTCAGTAAGTCAGACACTTGGGAGTTTCTCCACTCTCGATGTTCTCCAGCATTTTGAATTGAGAGCCGTTTCTATGTCTAAGAAACAAGTATTAACTTCTGACAGAAAAACTAGCTCGTTCTGACACTGTTTAACTCAGTGTGCATTTTTAAGAGATTTAATAACCAGTATCATTCTTTAAAATTGACGTCGCTTGTATTTACTAAAAGTTCATGCAAATGATCAACCCATGAAAGGGTTATCCCCTGCGCGTAGTGGGAATCTCCCATAAACAAGGACGTTTATTTCGAACAACAGAGAAAGAATAACACTTCGAGAGAATTTACGCTTTGACTTTATAAGGGTACATATTTTTTGTAAATAATAGTTCAGTTAGCTTATTGGTAAATATCCTGTGAGAGTTGTGGTCAATGCCACAAGAGTGTTTACAACTTTACTAGTAACTACGTCACACAGATGGCCAATAAGAGGTGACGTCATCGTAAGCTGTGGCACGCCACGATCAAAAACCTACACTGCATGTAAAGAATACATGTCCGTTTCCTCTTTAAAATCATCGCTGTCGTGAACAAGAACGTTTTGGAAAAGGAAGAGGAAAAAAAGAAAGATGACAGGAGCCACTTGGGGTTTTGTGAATTTTATGTTCTCAAATGTAAAGGCAGTTTACATTACATACAAAAATACCCTTTCAAATACAACTTTTGCCCTACAAAAGAATATGACAAGTAGATTTTTTTTAAATTGTCCTAAAGGTAACAGGAAGATTCAAACTGAGCGATGAAATGAATGTCTAGAAGAAAAAGATGTTAAACTGCAATACCTGTGATATAAAAAAATTATAATGGTACAAATAAATAAAATGTTAAGAAACCCCAAAAGGAATAGTAAGCCTATGTTCTGTGTACACCCCAAATGGGCAGCACAGTAGGATGTGAAAAGGAGGAAAAATGGAATATAAATGGAAAGAGGGCAGAAATCTTATTTAGTCTGTTCTTAAAGTTCAAGAGACACTGCCATTCAGACCTCCATGGGAGGCGCAGGGGGTGACGCCCTAAACACAGGAAATTACAATCATGCACATGCACACGCAAACCCAACATGGACTCCTTTATCATTGAGCAAACTCACAGTAAAAGCAAACCTGCTTCGAAATGTAGGCCCAACAAACCCATACCTCAGATCTAATACTGTTCTTTAGTTCAGAGCTGATAACGAAACTATGGAGTGGCGGCAGCGTTTGTGACCGGTAATGGGAGTCATGGTTTTGAGTTACTAATGCTGGTCCATATACACACTCTCGCACACACAGGCACCCCACACAAAAGGTCCTCCCAGAAACTGTACCAGAACCTATACAGCCATTACAAAAAGACTGCAAGGAAAACCTTTGAACAAACAAAGAATCTCATTTACAGTGACAAACAGGACAATTTTTTTTCAACTTTTTTTGTTAATAAAAACTACATTAAGGTGGCATAGAAAGACTAACAATGATTTTTAAAGTTATTTACAAACTACTCTACTGTACAAGTTGTTTCAAAAGCTCATAGATGTCTAAGCAAGCATTCGAACACAGTAAGGCATAAAAAAAACTACTTGGGGGGGGAAAAAAAAAAAAATCTATACTTTACACTAACTCTTTAACAAGCAGGAAGACCAGCCAAATATCAGTAGCAGTTTAAAAGCAGCACTGCTGTTACACAGGTGTGGTTCCACTCTTTAAGGGAAAACCTGTGTAGACAAATGCTCAAGAAAAAGGGAAAAATAGATTAAAGGGCAAACTCAAGAGTGGCAGCAACAGTAACAATTCATGTCACCTGTAGATAGCTCACTGTTATCGGTTAAGGGTGAGCCTGATTGAATTTTTAATCACACGGAGGTTGCTTGTGGGGATTGGAGAAGATGCATCCGGAAGCTCTTTACTGGATAGTCTCTGAAAACATAAAAGACTATTAAATTAATTTCAATTTTGACATTAAAATTACAACAATAATTGCAGGTCAATTACCTGTGACCTTGATGTATCGATTGTTGGTATTGGCATAGGTTTGGTTGCTGCAAGACCCTCCTGTGTCAAAGAGGGGTTTTTTTTCTTTCAGGAAATTTGTTTTTGCAAAAACATTGCGTGAGGTCTTATTGTGTTGATGCAAAACAGTTTCTGTTTCAGCGAAATGATCCAATTGTGGTGTACACCTGTGATTACTGCAATAAACATGAAGAAAAAATATATATATACACACACTCACCACTGTTTGC